ATATATATATTCAGCCTTACAAGTTGGACGCAATTCAGAACCCATTGATTCTCTTCTAAGCATGTACTAGTATTTAGGAAATGATTTATTTATTTTCCTTTATGCAAGCTTTGCACCATTGTTGCTGGGCAAAGATAGTCAAGGAACCTCAACGAAAAACAAGTCACAACATTACTAAAAGCAATTTGTCAACGTCTTAACGAGAAGGAGTTTAACATAATGCAAGTCTATTTGTGCTTTTTATTTTGACAATTAATATATGTCTTAATCTGCAATTGAGTTTTTATCTTATTTCTTATGATCATGTTGTTGCATTTATGCAAATACTTAGTCAAAATAATTTAACTGGATGTAGTTTCATGAAGATGGTATTTGGAATGCCAATGATAAAAAAAAACAAACAAACAAAATAATTTAACTCTTGTACCAATGCTATCACTCACAAACTCAAAAAATGTTTATAACATTAGATGTCGTTTTCCATGAAGACTCGATGTATTTTTCCTCAGAGTTTATAGTCAAGATTGTTGTGGAATATGGTCATGACATGTCTTGTATAGGTTCAAAGAGAGACTTCAAGCTCATAGGAAAAATACATCGAGTCTTCATGGAAAACGACATCCAATGTTATAAACATTTTTTAGTTGGAGGGTGATAGCATCGTTACACTTTTTTATTAGCAACATATCCTAAAAAGACACAGCGCAATACTTGAGGATTTAACTTGTTGCGATGATACTTATGTAGGAGTACGAAGGCAACACAACCAAAGACATGTGGATGTAAGTTTTGGTTAGCACTGCTCATACAAGCGCATCCATAAGGAGGTGTCAGCGGAAAAGCGCACAGTGGCGATACTAGAGACTTCAAGCTCATAGGAAAAATACATTGAGTCTTCATGGAAAACGAAATTCAATGTTATAAACATTTTTTAGTTGGAGGGTGATAGCATCGCTACACTTTTTGATTAGCAACATATCCTAAAAAGACACAGCGCAATACTTGAGGAGTTAACTTGTTGCGATGATACTTATGTAGGAGTATGAAGGCAACACAACCAAAGACATGTGGATGTAAGTTTTGGTTAGCACTGCTCATACAAGCGCATCCATAAGGAGGCATCAGCGGAAAAGCGCACAATGACGATACTAACTTCTTCCTCTTCTGGGATCTCATAATACTCAAGAAAGCATTCCGTTAATCATGCATATAGGTCCTCCCATGTAAATCTCTCAATGTTGAGTTTAAGGATTTTCATACTCGTTGGATGGTGGAGTGTATAATTTATGTTATCCTTGTATTCATTATTTCTTAACTAATGATAGTTTGAGTATTATCATAAATATATTGTTGAAGAATACAAAGTCCCGCATGAAAACTTGAAAAATTTTAAAGTCACATATTGTTTAAGGTGGCTGTCAAATTGGCCAACAAACCCTACCTTTTTCTAATACATGGGTTCTTACGGAGCAAACAAGATGAGTTGCCTCAATAGGCAATACAAGTTCTTAGTGTTGTTCTTAAGAACAAACCATCTAATATGTATTAGTCTCTGCTTGTTTGGAAGAGTGCATGATTTATGTTATCTTGTATTCATTATTTCCTAATTAATGATAGTTTGAGTGTTGTATTTTCTATCATAGGTACACTGTTAAGAATACAAAGTCTCACATTGGAAACTTGACAAAATGTAAAGTCTCATATAATGAATGTTTCCACTACTAATAACATAGAGGCCTTCTGTGATAAATTCCAACATCTACTGGGCTTTGTAGGTGGTTAAGTTGGGAATAATATCGATGTTACTAGTAGTGGGTTATGTGTTCACCCCTTTGAAATTTACGTTGGTATCAAAGCGGGTTCGAAATAACACTATCTCTCCTTGGGAATAATATCGATGCACTCTCGAATCAGTGTTGCAAGGGCTTGAACGAATAATATTTACATAGACATCACCATCGCAAATATCCCACCACCACAAATCTTCCATCACCACCGCACATCCTATCTTACAAAATTCTTATCTAATGGGAAAAAACGACACCAAATCCTCAGGCACCAAGCCTATTATTTTTCAAACTAAAGGGTTAGGATTCAACACAGGAATCACCCTCACCAAATCAAACTACGATGTCTGGTCTCAAATAATTGAGATGCACATTGCAGAATGTAAAAAACTCTCGTACCTTCACAGCAAAGCCGAGCAGCCTATAGAATCAGATGAAGGGTATGACAAATGGTATTCAGAATACCAAAGAGTCAAGTGATGGTTGTTGATGTCGATAGCTCCTGAAATCATGAAGCGATGCATACGCTTACCCATCACTTGCTCGGGAGATCATGAGAGGTACAATATTGTACTAGAAAATGTGGCCTGCCTTACAAGCTGGGAGTGATTCAGAACCCATTTATTTACCTATGGAGGTACCTTTCTCGACCTTTTAAGTATTTCTTTTCCAGTTTGATTTTCTTCTAAGCATGGTGCTAATATTTAGGAAATGATTTATTTATTTTCCTTTCTACAAGCTTTGCACTATTGTTGCTGGGTAAAGATAGTTGAGGAACCTTAATGAAAGACAAGTCACAGCGTTACTAAGAGCAACTTGTCAATGTCCTAACGAGCGGGATTTCAAAACAATGCAAGTCTATCTGTGCTTTTTATTTTGACATTGAATTTATTTCTTAATCTACAATTGAGTTTTTATCTTGTTTCGTGGAATCATGTTGTTGCATTTATGCAGATGCTTAGCCAAAACAATTTAACATGAGGTGGTTTCGTAAAGGAGATATTTGGAATGCAAGCGATAGAAAGAAAAAAAGAAGAAAGAAAGTATTTTCAACCGTTTTACCCCCTGAAGTACAACCCTTGTAGAAATTAACCCTGTGAACTAAACAATTAGCCAATTTAGCACCCGAATGAATTAAAATCACCAATTTTTTCAAATTTCATCCATTTTTCCGTCCAAAAAGTCACTTGTTATCAACGTGACTTACTATTATTTTTTTTCAACTATTATAAAACCTAAAATGGTTAGAAAATAGAAAAATGAAAAGAAGAACAAAAACCTGACTTACACACTCTCTCTCTCATATGTTCCTTCCCTAAAAAACAATAATGCTAATAATATCAATTCTTCATGTCAAATCTCAAAATTAGCTTAAAGCTAACTTATCATGGGCCATCATGCAAAATAAAAAAGCAGTTTCCAATTGTATGCCTTCAAGTTTCTAACAAGTAAAGCTTGAATAATATCAGCTTTTTAACCAAAAGATGCAATTTTTGTAAACAAACAATCAAGAGAGGAAACAGGAAGTGCTTAATCCACATTCAAACCCTAATGCATTATTTGGTTGTTGAGAAATTGATGTAAAATGACACATGCATCTGAAATTTTAATTCTCTTTCCATTATCCGCTTAACTTTAGTGAAGCCATATAATCTATAACAGCATAAAACACAAACATGGAAGATTTTCCCTTTTTCTTGCCTAAAATTCCCGGCAACCAAACAGAGGATAGAAAACAACAACCCAACAAACAATCTAACAATGAAATTTCTCAATAACACCCAAAGAAAAGGCAATACCCATGAAAAATTACCTAGATTCTACGGCCATGTTGTGAGCTCATAAACTCATTTTATCACAGTTCCGGTATTATCAATCAATTGAATGTGTTTCCTAAGCTTTTTTCTAAGCCCAGTAACAAAATCTCTTTTCAAACTAGAAATAGATTAAATGAAGCTATCGAATAGCGCACCTGTAGTCTAAAAGGAAAAATGTTGCAGAGAAAGAGAGCATATGAGAAAAGTGAAAGAAGGAATAAGAGGTATCAAAAGGAACATATCATAAAAACTTGCCTGGTAGCAGTCGATGTTGAACAAAGGAGACGCAAAGTCGCGAACGCGAGAGAGAGAGAGAGAGGCGAAGTAGCGTGTTCTCAATTTAGCGATGGGCTTATTTTTTAACCAAATTTTAGGCTCTCTGTATAAGAAAAGCAAGTGAGGAGGGTTTTTTACTGTTGGACTCCACAATCCCATTTAACTTAGTCCCCCATCTTACCAAACATGAGCTTCAAGTCCTATTTAGCATAGTCCAAGGGAGTGATGCCTACCAAACATGCCCCTTTGGGTGTTAAATTGGCTGATGTTTTAGTTCGAGGGTTTAAGTTCAATTGCGGTCCTAATTTGGGGGGTGTACAACAATTTTCCCTAGAAAAAATGGCTTTAGTTCATGCTCGAATTTTGCCTCCTTCATTGGTAATCAGTTGTCTCCAGTTTTATTCCCAGTCACTACAAGCATCATTGAACTTGTTTCTGAACTGATGTTTGTATTGATGGGCACAACTAAAATACTATAGCCATGGTTGTGAAACGGAGGCAACTCCGCAGATGGGGAAATGGAATATGATTAACAAGGTGAGGTAGTGGATTTTTTATTCCTTAGATGAAGCTACTAGTAAATTATGCATGTGTGTCGACCTTTAACACCTACGTGTCATAACTTCTGTAATGTGTTTCCTTTTTTTGTGTCAAATCTTCAGTATGGGTTTGATGGTAAGAAAGCAAGATTTTGCAATTGTTGGAAATCAAATCTTGTAATTGAAGGATTGTAAATATTGTAATTATCTTTCCTATATTAGACCCCAAGGTTTATGGGTCAAACCCGGATTGTAGCCTTAATTAGGAATTATGCTAGAATAGGAGATTGTAAACCTAGTATATAAAGGATAGTATTATGTACAGTAGAATATCAGTAACAGAACGATTATTCCATCTCTTTTATTCTTTACATGGTATCAAAGCACCGATCCGGTGGCTCGTGATTTACATTTTTATTTTCTTTTGAAACTTTTGAGGGTTTCACTCCCTTGTCTTCACCATGGGCAATTCCAATGTCCTTGCTAGGAATCATCCACAGCAGCCACGTAATAGCAATAACAATACATGCTCCAATTTTTCAGCACATCAGATCAACACATGTCTTCCAGCAGCCCTTTCTCAAACAGTCCCTTCCTCTCATTTGGGGCCCATCCTCAACGTCCTTGCTGGCCTCTCAAGGGAACAATGCAAACAACTCACTACCGCTATGGTAAATTTGTCTAAACTTCCCTCTGAAAACCCAAATTCTTTTTATAATGCAACAGGTCGATTTCATACTTCCGACACTCCGTCTGTTAATTCTATTTTTTCTAACTCTTGAATTCTTGACAGTGGAGCTATGGATCACATCACATCCGATTCTTCCCTTTTTATTCATAGCAATTCATCTTCTATACCTTCCGTCAATTTACCCACAAGTTCATCTATTCCTATTGATTCCACAAGCACAATTCTTTTTAATAAAGACATCATCCTAGAACATGTTCTTCATGTCCCTACTTTTCGTTTAAATTTAATGTCTGCTAGCAAACTCACCAAATCTCTTCATTGTTGTATAATTCTCTTTCTAGATTTTTGTGTTATTCAGGACTTGGCTACGAGAAAGATGATTAGTTGGGGTAAGCAAAATGAAGGCCTATATTATATGTCGTCGTTGACCAAAGCACCTATCTTTTGTCATGTCATGCACACATCCACCATATGGCATCATCGTCTTGGACATCCTTCCTCTGCTCGCCTTCAGTTGTCATCTAAATCTTTTCCCTTTATATCTTCTTCATTTGGTCATTCTTGCACTGTCTGTCCTATGGCCAAACAAACTCGAATTCCCTTTTCCTTAAGTAGAACATCAACTTCACTATTTGAATTGTTACATTATGATATTTGGGGTCCACACCGTGTTCACTCACATACTGGTGCACATTACTTTCTTACCATTGTGGATGAATTTACTCTATGCACTTGGGTGTTTTTTATGTCACTTAAATCTCAAACACAAACCTTGCTTAAATCCTTTTTTGCCTTGATCAAAAATCAGTTTAATGCCACTATCAAAACCCTTCATACAAATAATGGTTCTGAATTTCTTTCTTTGAAGGATTTTTTTTGTCTCCCACGGGGTTGAATTTTAACGCTCCTGTGTTTATACACCTCAACAAAATGGTGTAGTTGAAAATAAACACCGACACATCCTTAACGTTGCCTGTGCTTTGTGCTTTCAATCGCATATTCCCTTGTCTTTTTGGGGTGACTGTGTTTTGACTATTGTGTATTTAATTAATCGTTTACCCACACCCTCATTGTCTGATAAATCCCTTTTTGAACTGCTTTATCACAAATTACCACATCTTGATCACCTTCGTGTTTTTGGCTGCTTGTGTTACGCCACCAACGTTCATCCCACTCACAAATTTGACCCTCGCGCATGACGTTGTATTTTTTTGGGTTACCCTGCGGGGCAAAAAGGTTACAAACTTTATGATCTTGACACCAAACGTTTTTTTGTGAGTTGGGACGTTAAATTTTTTGATAGTATTTTTCCTTTTCAATCCCACCAAAACACCCCACCCAGCTCTCTCACCCAATCGGTTTTACCTGTACCATATCCAAATGATACAATTTTTTTCCCCACATAGTCCCACTCCCTCCCTACAGCTTCTCAAATCCATCTACCCAATCCTACTACACCTACACATAGCCATCTACCCGATCCCACTCCACTTCTACCAACCCACCTCCCCCGACCTACTCCACCACATGGTTCTCCAATTCCAACATCTAGTCTCCCTCCTTTGGATATTGGGCCTGTGTTTAGCCCACTATCACCTCGTCCCCAGCCCGTACTATGCCCACAAATGTCGTCCCCCCGTTTACTGCTAACCTAATTCCTCCTTATCTACTTGATGCCCAGAACCCACCACCTCCGTGACACTCCACTCGTTCGACGCACCTACCGTGTTGGCAAAATGATTATTTTATGGGCTTCTCTTCTACCTCCTTTGACTCGTCATCCTCTTCGGGGCCAACCCCTTCTTCAGGTACTCGTCATCCTTTATCTAATTTTATTTACAATCATCGTCTTTCTCCTTCGCATCATGCTTTTCTTGCTAACGTTTCAGGAACCTGTGAGCATACCAATTATGCTCAAGCTGCTTCTGATCCCTATTGGCAACTTGCTATGAAAGCCGAGTTGGATGCATTGCAACTCAATCGTACTTGGACACTTGTTCCTTTACCGCATGGTCACAAACTCATTGGCTGCAAATGGGTTTATAAAATTAAATACAATTTAGATAGCTCCATCAAGCACTACAAGGCTCGCCTCGTCGCCAAAGGCTATACCCAAATTGAGGGTGTTGATTGCAGTGAGACTTTCTCCCCTACTGCCAAGATTACTACTCTCTGCTACCTTTTATCTGTTGCTACTACTCGTAATTGGTTTATTCACCAACTTGATGTTTAGAATGCCTTTCTCCATGGTGACTTACAGGAGGAGGTCTATATGGTCCCTCCTCCCGGTCTTTGCCGACAGGGGGGAGAATCTGGTGTGTCGGTTGAATAAGTCTCTTTATAGGCTTAAACAGGGATCTCATAATTGGTTCTCCAAATTTTCCCATCCTATTAAGAAAGCAGGCTTTCAACAATCTATGGCCGACTATTTTATTTTTACCAAGGTTAATGGAGATTCTTTTATAGGTGTGCTCATATATGTTGATGATATTCTCATTATAGGCAATAATCGTCAAGAAATCGAATGTCTTAAATATTTCCTTCTCAAACAATTTCACATCAAGGACCTTGGTGACTTGAAGTATTTTTTGAACATTGAATTTTCCGGATCTAATAAAGGTCTTTTTATGTCACAAAGGAAATATTCCGTAGACATTTTACAAGAGACAGGCTTGACAGGTGCATGACCAGAAAAATTCCCAGTGGGGCAAAATGTGAAATTGAAACCCACGGATGGTGATCTTCTCAACGATCAGATGAGATATAGGAGGTTGGTAGGAAGATTAATTTATCTTATTGTCACAAGGCCAGACATTGTTTATTCTATTCGGATTTCGAGTCAGTTCATGCACCAACCCAAAAAACCACATATGGATGCCGCACTTTGTGTTTTAAGATTCATTAAAGGCACGCCTGGTCAAGGTTTATTTTTCCCGGCTATGAATAACCTTCAATTGAGAGCTTATTGCGATTCAGATCATGCAGATTGTCCAACAACAGGTTATTGTGTTTTTCTAGGAAATTCTCTTGTCTCATGGAAATTAGAGAAACATTCAACTATTGCTCGATCATCTCCAGAAGCATAGTACAGGGCCATGGCAGTCACATGTCGGGAGATTACATGGTTACGCTATATATTGTGAGACTTAAGAGTTACACAGAAGGGTCTTGCACTTTTGCATTGCGACAATCAAGCTGCACTACATATGACTGCAAATCCAGTTTTCCACGAAAGAACGAAGCACATTGAAATTGATTGTTCCATCTCTTTTTATTCTTTACAGCAATTGAAGTGGTTTTGTAGCATTTTGAGGAATTCGTATAGATATGTTAATTTAGACTCTAAATATTTGAAATAATGGGTTTGATGGTACAACCATTTCCCCCAGGGTCATCTAAACCTTGGATTATTGAGAGGATGCTCAGAGATATTCATAGGCAGTCTACTAAGAGACTAGAATTAATTGGCCAGAAGGGGAAGCATCTTCAGTTGTAAAATCTCTAAATTTGAGGTCTCTAATATTAATTACAACAACTATACTTGAAAGTGTTATCAATTAAATTCTTGACTGTATGTAAAGGAAATAAGTTGACCCCCTCAGCAACCCTAGCCATCATGCCCCTCCAGCAGCCCCTCCCCACCTCGTTCACCCTCTCCACAATTGCTTGGAGATCCACAAACGGCTTCATCCACCAGTCCATCATCAACTCAACAAACCCAACCCTCTCCGTAAGTTGCGAAAATACATGTTGTCGAATTTGGCCGGGCTCATGACGTCTGTTCACCTGTTTTGTGTTTCTTCATGTGATGGTAGGGTAAAGTTCCCCATTGCCTTGAAAACCATTGACTAGTCAACAAGTCAACTTTCCTTAGTGTGCGAGCATGACACTGCTAGCAATAACAATTTTAGCGAACTTCTTAAAATAGATAACTTGCGCCCCAAGTTACTGATTTCTAAACAAGCGATTGTGAATTTAGGTGAGGAATATCTCCCAAGTAAATTCTTTTCATGCCTCAGACTGGTGAGGACTTTAAAATTTATCTCAGTGCAAGATTAGTGGTTCTGGCTAGAATAAATGATAATAAAGTGAACTGTTTAAGGCATAACTGCCTTTTACAAAACTATAGAGGGAAAAATCAACTCCAAAAAGACAAAAAGATGATTGAAATTCCATTTTTGCCTATATAGAAGCTTCTAATCTGAGCTGGACTGGGTATGTCTGTGCTGGACTAAACTGTCAATAACTTCAACTACTTAGCTTCAGCTATAAATCGATACCAAAATTTGAATTTGGAAGAGCTTTAATCTATTTCAAGCCCTGGAGGGCTTTTTGAATGCGTAGAACTGCGGCCTTTTCAATTTGCAAGGGGTAGAAGTGGCTGGACTTGAAGACTTACTGAGCTGGCACTGCACTGTGGTACCTGTTTTGCTTGGTCGGGGCTCTCCACAAATTTGTTGAGGTTTTCATATTTGTGAAAACTCAAACTCTGCTTGTCTTGGCTTTTGCTGAACCAAATTTGTAACGAGAAAAGTCTCGTTTTGAATGACTTTTTCTCTAAGCCTGAACTTTGAAATTCTAAGAGAGAGAGAGAGAGAGCTTTTGATTACTCCAGTTTGTTTGAAGGTTCTTAGTGATCAAGTGATCATTTTGAGTTTCTTGCCTTTGGCTTATTTTTGGTTGTTTGATTGATTATTTTTTTGACTTTTTTGTATGTGTTTGCCATGTTCACCCCCTCTTATATTTATAAGAAGTGCTTTGGAGTAGGGTTTCTTTCTTTTAATAATGGGCGGCAAAATTTTCTCAAAAGATCTTTCATTTTTAAATGTAAAGAAAGAGGGGTTTTATCAATTCTGGCAGATAAGCTCTCACTAGTCAGTTCCTTCATATCACTTCCCTGTATTTTTCAAACTGTGATGGTTAGTTTGATCTTCCATTTGAACAACTCCCTGTCCCCCTACTTATCTCCTTTTGATAACACGGCCTGCTTATCTCTTGAGAGAATCACCCTCTTTGGAGAAAAAACATTATTTCCAAATATGTAAAGGGGATTTGATCTTCTGATGGCAGAGATTCAGAGAAGTCTTCTCCTAGCCGTCTGCTTTTGTTAATCCCAGTTGAAAATATTGACTTTTCTAAGTCAGAAACATCACGTGGGTCTGTTCCTGTTTTGGGTTTCTTTCTTTTAATAATGGCAAGCCCAAATTCGAGTTGAACCATGAGCTGATTCCTTCCTTTTCTCTATTTCTCCAAGGCCCAGGTTTTGCGTTCTTAGATAGCTCCTAAGCTGGGCTTCTTTTAGATGTGGGCCCTTGATTATAATTTGGGTCTTGAACTGCCTGGTTTTGTTTTTGTCTTATCGTTCTGGGCCTCCAGTGCTGGGTTGAGTGTGTGTTTTGGCCCAATTTCAGGGAATACAGGTGGCTGCCCAAAAATTGTCATGGGCTTTTGTTTTGCTTGGGTTGTGTGTCAAATTAGGCCCAAACGATGCCCCCTAAGTCTGAATCGTTTTTGAACGATTTCAGACTTAATGACTTAGGCCATTAATTTGTGCGCGCCAGTATCTTTTCGTTAACCACGTCTGCCACGTCTTCCTACTGAGCTAGAGTTCGTGGGAAACTAGGTAGTTATTAGCTCATTACTAGCTAGTCATCATCAGGTGTCGTATCATCTTCTCCTTCCCTAGTTTTCGAACTTTTAAAAGAAATCAAACTCAAAGCTTTTGTTCATTTCGAAAACCTAGCTCTCAAACCTTTATTTTCTAAGTGTTTCAGAATTTCCACTCTTTTCTTTGAGTCGACTCTGCCTTTCTTACCATCTCCTTTGTTCCTAGCTCAAAACTTCTAAACATGTCTTCTCCCAAGACTCATGCTCAAGGTTCGTCCTCCTCAGTTCCTCCTGATTACATCACTGGGGCTGGGGTTGACATCCATGCCATAGAGGTTAGAAGCAAACTCCACCCTTTTGCCAAGAAGAATCTGGATGAGAATGTCCTTCACCTCTTCGAGAATACTTTGGTCCTGGGACCTCACTAGTTCGGTTTTGTTCCGACTGAGATGGCGGAGCTGTTTAAAAAGATGCGGAAGCTCCTCTGTGGTTAGTAAGAATTTGAGTCGTTCGTTCCCACGGTATGGAGCTCACTGGAAAAGGGCTGGAATTCATGATGCCATCCTCCTATCCAAGCAATCTATTAATAGGGATGAGAATCTTCTTGCTGCTGCTCTGTGTTTCTGAAATTCTGCCAGTAACATTTTTGATTTTCGTGTGGGCCCCATGGCTCTGACTCTGCTAGATATGGCGCAGATCTTTGGGTTCAGGCCCCGTGGAAGACTTGTGGATGCAGTAGGTGATTACCATAGGAGAAAGAACCAGAAGAAACTAGACAAGCCTTTCACCATCTCTCTAGCCCTCATTAACCAGAACTGCTCCTTCTACAATTACTTGAGAAAGTTTAGTGCTGAGAAGGACAAGGATCAGCAACATATGCTTTTCCTTCTGTACTGGCTGAACAATTTTGTCTTTCCAAATCGCTCCTCAGTAGTTCTTCTTGAATACAGACATCTGGTAGAAGCGCTTCACAATCATACTGACGTAGGGCTTGGGCCTACCGTTCTGGCTTATCTTTTCAAGAACCTACACATGGCCACGCTGGAGAATCCACTAAACTTGTCTGCTCCTAGCGCATTTTGGATGATTCAGATCTGGCTATAGGTCAACTTCCTAGAATTGAGGTTTCCGGATATAGTTCTGCCTGAGGATCAAGTTCTGGCCCTTCCTCTGATGTCGGCAGAAGTGCCTAAGCGATCAATCGAGGAGTACCTGATGTTTTTCAGGCACTGTACAAAGAGGTCAGCAGCTCAGTGGCAGGTGGTGATCAGAAGAACCTATCATTGGTTCCAACCTGGATACCAGCTGTTCGAGAAGGAGCCAGATGAGCAATCTGCCATAACAGACTTTAGGAAGAAATTCCTTAGCGTTACCCTGCCAAGAGATCGGCCCCATGAAGGAGGAAAGCCTCCAAACTATCATTTGGGGGCAGAAGTCTATCATCTTAACTTCTGCGCCGGACAACTTGGATGCCCACAGCTCATTCCACTCAAATCCTACATGAGCTGTAATCGGGCCACTTCTTAGAGAGATGCAAACGACCTGGAAGTGCATAAAGATGCTAGGTGTGCAGTAAATAAGATCAATAACAGCGCAGACGCTCTCGATCCAGCCTAGGAGCCCAATTCCTGTAGTTCTGCCGAGTTTGACGCTTGGTGGAAACCTAGATTTCAAGGCCCATCTACCTCCAGCACTACCCTAAAAATCCTTTTCGATGGCTGGGATTCCTAGGTTGTTCACGCAGGAGAAGAGACTCATAAATTTATGGTGCATACCATAAAAGACATTAACGCTCAACAAATCTTAAAGGTAAGTTCCTGATTCTATCTTTATTTTGCTTATTCTGTCTTTGTGATGATTCCTAATGTTTTGTTCTGCCTGCAACAGATCCTTCTTTGACAGAAAACATAGAAGGGCAGACTGTCCAAGCTGGAGAAGTGATTGGTAAGTCTTTTATCATTCTGTTTCTTCTATCTTTTCCTGCTAGATTGACCTCTGACTTTGTCTGTTTCTTGCGTAGTCACTTCTGTCATTGCTGCTGGGGATTTGGAGGTTCCTTCTAGGGATGAGGAGGATGAAACTCCAACATAACAACCTTTTATTGAGGCTACTCCCTCTGTCAGAAAGAGAAATGAGACTGCCTCAGTCCATGATAGTGCCGCTCAGCCTGCGACTTCAGGTAAATTCTGGTAGTTTGAGGGTTCCTGTTCTGTTATGCTGAATCAGCTCGTGTTCTAACAGTTTATTATCTGCTTTTTGTAGCTGAAAGTCCCCCTCCTCCTCTTACTAAGTGAAAAAGACTTAGAAAGATGACTGTGGTAGAATATGTGGCCATGAAGGAATTTGCAGCAGCTCCCACCAACTCCTCTAGGACAGATGAAGAGCTAAGAGAGGTCTTCGAGGCAATAGAGCAGGAAAAAGAACAACAAGAAGAAGAAGATGTCCCTTCCAAGGAGAAGAACAAAGAGTCGGAAGAAGAGGTAAGCCTTTATTTCATCACTGTATGTATTTTGGGTGTTTGTTTTCTCTCTTTCTAACTTCTGACCTCTATCTGTTTGTAGGAGGAGATTCATGCTGAGGTGATAGCAAAGAGCATTGCCTTGGCAGAACCCACGAGCTCAGAACTGGCTTTATTCGATGATGAGGAGGCAGAACATTTTGCTGAAGCTCAAATGCCCATGGAACAGTCAAAACTGTCTATTTTAGAACCGAAGGAGCATGCAGATCTTCTTGTTGCAGCCTCAAAACCTGAAGTGGAGGCATCTGCTGCTGTTCCTAGATTTGTGGTAATTTCCTATTCTAGTTTCACTTCTATATGTTTTCTGCAATTCTGTTCTGTTTAGATCTCTCTAATCATTAGCTTTTCCAGGTAGAACTGCCCAGGACTGCTAGGGTTTTGGCTATAATGACCAGCCCTCTGAAGCCTTTAATTGTTGCTATAAGTTTTATTGCATTTCTGGGCTTCTTTCTTTTCTGTTTCTGCCTGGTTCTGACTTACATTCTTTTCTGCAGATGCCTATCCACTCCCTTCCAGCTTCATCTGCCACCGCCTCTTATGCTGATCCAGAGCTGGCAGAATTTGAGGTTATGGATCTGGACTCCCAGCTGGACAAGCTGGAGAAACTCAGTTCTACTCCTTGGAAAGCCAAGTCCAAGGCAGTTGAGGAGGCTATGGAGAGACTGAAGATCTAGCAATCGACTGAGTTGGAGCTGGATGAGGACAAGGAGGCTATTGACCAATTTATGAAGGATCTGGACCTCCTGCACAGACAGAACATGGCTCATAAACCCATACTTGAGATGAGTCTTGGCTTGGCAAGAGATGTGCTCAACCTCCACGACCGTTATGAGGATCTCAAGCCCACCTTCAAGACCTCTGAGTTCTGCAAAGCCACTTATGAAGCCAACTTGGTTGATTATGCAAAGCAGAAGGCAGAACTAGACCAGATGGTCGCAGGGTATAAGGAAGCTAAGGCCACTGCAGACAAGCTGGAGAAGCAGATTGAAGAGCTTCAAAAGCAACTGGCAGAGTGCCGAGAGGTAGAGAACAGACTTGGGGCTGGACTGAGTTCCAAGACCAAGGCCACTTTCCTTGTGCAGAGCATGGTTTCAACTTCCAGGCTAACTTTGGAGATTGCAGAGGCTTCAATCCATCAGGGGGTGCTGCTTCAGAAAGAACTCTCTATCAAGAAGGCCAGCTTGCAAGAAACCCTTAGAAAATTAGGGTTTTAATTTTTAAACTAAAAAAAGTAATAAACTTTAGTCATGGAAAATGACTAATATTTAATATTTAATAAAAGTTATTTATTTGTTGCAATTTTCGGATTTTCAATTTCTTTTGATGAAATAACATAGAGTAAAAATAAAAGGGAAATAAACTTTAACAAATCAGACAAAAATAAATTCTGAACAAAACTTTTAAACAATCAGTTTCAATCTTGTTTCTTCTCTATCATAGGATCTGTTTGTGCAGCCTGTGAATCCCACATGGTTGGGTATAATTTTTTCAACCATTTGCCATTGATTGGTGCAGCATAAACATCTCCATCTCGATCCTATAATATGTATGCCCCCATTCCAAGGATTTGCTTAATTATAAAAGGACATTCCCATGTAGATGACCACTTTCCATAACCTGCTATATGTGTTCCAAGGGGCAGAACTGCTTTCCAGACTATTTCTCCTTCTTCAAAACTCATCTTTCTAACTCTTTTGTTGTAGTCCCTTGATACAACCTGCTTTCCTGCTAAGAGTTTGTTCAGGGTATCAATCCTGCTTGTATCCAATCCTTCCAGTTCTAGCAGCATGGCTTGAGAGTAATCCTCTCCAATCAGATTTTGTTGATGAGCAATTCTAAGAGACTGGACTGCTATCTCCATGGGTAGACTTGCATCATGGTCATAGGTTAGAGCATATGGGGTCATGCCAATTGCCTCTCTCTTTGAAGTTCTATATGCCCACAAAGTTTCTGATAACTTCTCATGCCACTGCTTTGGATTTTTCTCAAGCATTTTTCTGATAATGTTGATGATAACATTGTTACTTAATTCTGCCTGCCCATTGGCTTGAGCATAATAAGAAGTGGATTGAAGCAGCTTGAATTTGAACGCTTCTGCCATATCTAGCATCTCTTCATATATGAAAGAAGATCCCCTGTCAGTTGTGATGGATTCTGGAATGCCAAACCTTTGTAAAATCTGTTCTTTTATGAAAGTGATGATTTCCTGAGATGTAGTGGATTTAATAGGCTTGGCTTCCACCCATTTGGTGAAATAGTCTATAGCAACAATGATAAAACAGTGTTGCTTGCTACTGGCTAGATAAATCTTGCCAATGAGATCCATTGCCCATCCTCTGAATGGCTATGGTTTGACTACTAGATTCATGGGAACTAAATGAGCTTGCTGGATTGGGTCGTGCCTTTGACAAGCCTCACACCCCTTGGAATAGTCAATGCAATCCTTTATCATAGTTAGCCAGAAGTAGCCATACCTCCTAATTAACCAGCACATCTTTCTTCCTCCTTGGTGAGCTCCATAAATTCCTTCATGAGTTTCTCCCATGACTTTCATGTATTCTTTCTTTCCAATGCACTTTAGAAGTACCTCATCCTTACTTTTTTGGACCAAATCTCCATTCCACATAAGGTAATTTAAAGCCATGATTCTGACTCTTTTCTCAGAGGGCAGGGTTGGATACTGTAAGTAATTTATGATAGGATTTCTCCAATCATCTTCAGTGATTATGGCAGAATTGACGTCTATCTCCATTCCTCTGGTCAGAACAGATGGTAGACTCTTCTTTCATACCTTGATGATCCTTTACACATAGTCTTCAGGCATTTATATACCTGTTGCTACTTGAGCCAATTCATTTGCTGCAAAGTTTTCTTCTCTTGGGATATGTTCCCAAGTAGCTTCTCTGAATTTTGTTAGAAGGTTTCTGGCTGCCACTAAATAGACAGCTAAAGAAGGACTCAAACACATGTATTCTCTAGCAATTTGTTTTAACACAAGCATATAATCTCCTAGTATTTCCACAGATTGGATTCCCAATTCCACTAGTATTTCAAGTCCTATGATTAAAGCTTCATATTCTGCCCTGTTGTTGGTGCACTGGAAATCTAACTGGAAAGAATAACAGTGTATGATCCCTAGTGGTTCTTCTTAAACAATTCCTGCTCCGGAGGCTATGTCTGTCTTTGATCCATCAAAGTAAAGTTTCCAAGGTGTGACGTGAACTGAATAAATGGGATTGTTGAGGAAAGTATGGGCTCTAGTCAACAGATCTACATTTGCTATATCCAAAGAGTCCATATTTTCAATCTCTTCTCCTGGATGATCTGCTAAGAAATCTGCTACAACTTGTCCTTTGACAGCTTTCTGAGGAACATATCTGAAGGCAAATTCTATCAAAGCCAGAGTCCATTTTCCAATTCTGCCTCTCAACATTGGCCTTGTTAACATGTACTTGATTAAATATGTCCTGGCAATGATGTAGATGGTGTATGGCAGCATGTAGTGTCTGAGTTTCATAGCAGTGAAGTATAAGGCCAGATAAAGCCTTTCAATTGCAGAATACTTTCTTTCCACTTCTGTCAGAGTTTTGCTCAGATAATAGATTGCATGTTCCTTTACTTCCTTGTTATCCTGAACTAACAGACTCCCAATGGATACTTCTGATGCAGAAACATATAGTTTGAATGGCCTGCCTCTCTTTGGTGGGGAAAGAACTGGTGGATTTGAGAGGTAATGCTTGATTTCCTCAAACGCTTGTTGATGTTGTTCTTCCCACTTAAACGTTTGTTCTTGCTTCAACCTTAACAATGAGGAGAAAGGTTGGATTTTTCCTGCAGAATTGGATATGAATCTCCTTAGAAAATTAATTTTTCCTAGGAGACTCTGCAGTTCTTTTTTGTTCCGGGGTGACAAAGCTTCTATGATGGATTTTGCTTTATTTTTGTCAACTTCTATGCCCCTTTGGTGGACTAACAAACCTAAGAAATTTCCTGCCTGAACTCTAAAAACACATTTTTTGGGATTCATTTTCAACTTATGTTGTCTCATTCTCATAAATGCCTTTCTTAGATTTGATACATGATCTCCCATCTCTGGGAATTTAATCACCACATCATCTATATATACTTCCAGAGAATGCCCTATCATATCATGGAAAACAAAATTCATTGCTCTTTGATAAGTGGCTCCTGCATTTCTCAAGCCAAAAGGCATTACAGTATATTCAAAAGCACCTCTGTGTCCTGGGCACATGAAGGCTATCTTGTGAATGTCTTCTTCTGCCACCATGATATGATTATATCCTGCATTGCCATCCATAAAAGATAGCATTTGGTTATGGGCAACTCCATCTACTAGCATGTCTGCCATTAGCATAGGATATTCATCCTTGGGAGATGCTTCATTTAGATTCCTATAATCCACACAGATTCTAACTATTCCTATTTTTCTTTTCAGAATTTGTACAATATTGGCTAGCCAATCAGCATAAATGGCAGGTCTGATGAATCCTACTTTGAGCAATCTTTCTATTTCTTCCTTAACCTTCAGTTCTGTATCCATAGACATCCTTCTTCTGGCCTGTTTGACTAGGAGGTAACCTTCTTTAATTGGCAGCTTGTGTTCCACCAGCTTTCTGTCTAATTCAGGCATCTCATGATAATGCCAAGCAAAACAGTCTATAAAATCATGCAAGAGTGCCATGATTTCACTCTTGAGTGGTTCCTCCAGCAATGCACTAATGAAAGTAGGTCTAGGATCCTCTTCTGTCCCTAAGTTTATTTCCTACAGTGGATCTTCTACTTCTGGTAAAGAATCATCTAGTGATGCTGGTGCAAAATCTAGTACTTCCTCTTACAAACTCGCTTCCTGCTCCTCAGTGCTCTTATGAGTGAATTCTGCCGTATTGATGGCTGGATCCTACATAAAGAGTTTCCTTTCTTCCCAATATATCAACAATCTTTTTGTAATGGATCGGATTGTTGCAGCTCGATCCTTCTCTTGTTGATTGGGACTAAACATCAGAGTTCTTGGAGGTTTAGAACAAAAGGTCTATTCAAGTCCTCTAGATAACTGGCTAAACCATCTTCAATGAGTCTCTGGGCCGTGACACCATGGGGGTGGCCGTTCTGGTTGACTCCAAGAAAGGTGAAAGGGCCAAGGTCATCATGATAATACCTTGCCTTAAAACACATGGCAAAGGGCAGAAATGGTCGTGGGTTGACCTCTACTATCTCCATGTAACCTTCTTCATTCCAAAGGGCTAATTGTTTATGTAGAGTGGAAGGAACACATAAGCTTTGGTGAATCCAGTCCCTACCAAGCAGTGCATTATAAGTGGTAGAAGTAATGTCTACCACAAAGAATGCAATCTTTAATTCTTTGGTTCCAACTATGACATCCACATCCAGGATTCCATGAGTCTTGGTGATGCCCCCAGCAAAGTTAGTGACAGTCAAACGTGTTGGAATTAGATCCTTCTCTGTTCTTCCCATCTTGCTCAACAATCTGTGAGGTAAAAAATTAATGGCTGCACCTCCATCTACCATCACTTTGGGAATAGGAATACCCCCAAAGTTTGCTGTTACGAACAAAGGTCTGAGGTGATTGGCTATATCTTTGGTTGGTTTGGAGAAGCAAAGCTGTTCTGCAGCCAATTTCATGGCAGTTCCACCTGTCTTGGTAGTATGTGTTTGCTGTTCTGGTGCTTCTTCTACTTCTGCCAATCTGCACTTAAAGCTTTCATGGGAGAAAAAATCTCCTTCTAGAGTGTTTTCTTGCCCTTCTACTGCCCTGAATTCTTCTGGCAAGATGAAGACCATGTTGATGCATAGATCACCCTACAACAAGCTTTCCAGTTCTACACCAAAAGCCTTAGTTTCTTCATCTAATTCTCCATCATATTCCATTTGTTCTTCCCCATATTCTTCTGTCCAGTCTTCCTGTTCTCCTGTTTCGAGGAGTCCATTCTGGTCATCTGCAGATGGTTCATAGTCTAGCTGCTTTTCTTCATACTCTTCAGTCCAGTATTCTTGTTCTTCTACTAGAATGGGTTCGGGTTCTTCTTGTACTTGTGAAGGTTCAAGCCGGTTGGCTGAGGAAGATGGACGGAAGGTCTATTTGAAGATTCTGGCTTTATCAGCTTCAGGGGCTGGGAAGCTGTTTGTTCTGCCATAAGAGGTTCTTCTTGTTTCTTCCCTTTTCTGGCAGAACTGGTTTCTAGAAGTACTAGTGGGTCGTCCTTGTTTTTTAGAAATGTGCAGTACTGCCTTTGAACCCTCCTCTTCTGAGTTTTGGTTAGTTCCAGAGTTGGTCTGCCACTTTTCCCCACAGAATACCATCTGCCTTATATGATAATTGCCAAGGGTTTTTCATTCCCAGTCATCTTAATGGGTATCTCCTTCTTGGGTTGTTCTATCATCATTCTGCTGCACTGAGCCAGCCTAAGATAGTTCTTCTGTCTGGCTATGTCTCGAGAAGGAATCGGATTTGGGCCTTGCTAGTGGTATGACATTCCAATCCTGTCAAAAACACTAGGTGTGGGTTGATCCTGCCTATCCAGAACCACTTCTAACTCAGTTTCACACCTGCACTTGCTGTAGAGCACTACCCCAGCTGAGATAGTTGCCCTTGGCCTTTGATTAGCTTCCCTTGTGGTTGCTTTGCCTCTGCTGGAACTTGCTCCCGTTGCTGGTTTGCTTCTCTTCTGTTCTGGCCAGTTTAGGTTGACCATGTTAACTTGCGGCTAGGGAAAGGAGTCTGTTGTAACTAATGAAGGTTTCTCCGCCAGTTTTAACCTTCCTGCTGTTATTCCTTCCTGTATGACATCCCTGAAAACAACACAACTATTGGTCGAATGGTTCCAAGAGTTATGCTATCTGCAAAACTGTCTGCCCTTGAGGTCTTCTGGCTTGGGCAACCTGTGGGGTGTCTCTATTGCCTTTTGCAGCAGCATCTCATCAAACAAAGCATCTACTTTGGTCATATCAAAATAATAGACCTTGTTCTGTGTTGGTTTATTTGGAACAAACCCTCCTGTGAATGGTGGCGGTTTCTAGTCTTTTGGTGGCTTTGTAAGAGCCTTGCAGCTGATGGGATATTTCAATTTTGCCATCTCTGCTACTGCAATTTCTCTTTCCTCTGAGCCCTATGTATCTTCTTCTGATTCTACCTCAACCAGATGGACTGAAGAAGAAAGAGTCTTGTAGTATGTGCCTTTGGAAGAGTTCATCTTCTGTTTTTCTTCCGTAAGCAGCTCCTCATATTTAGATGTTTTATCTGCCAGTTCTGCCAGATCTCCAAACAGCATCTCATCAAATCTTTTTCTCAAAGAGATTTTAAGGGCGGCTTGAGCCATTTGGATGAAGTGTCTTTCCTCCATAGGGATTGACATTTCATTTTTGAGCTTTCTGAATCTGGTTATGAAGTCTTGGGCAGGTTCATCTTCACTCTGTTTAAGGGCAGCAAGATCACTGATAGCGATTTTTGGCTATGTCCTGAAATAATAGTCATGGAAAACATTTTCTATCTGCTCCTAAGTTTGAACAGAATTGGCTGGTAAACTAGTGTACCAAGTGAAAGCTTGTCCAGAGAGAGAATTTTCAAAAAGCCTTAGCTTCAACAGAGGGTTATTTTCTATGGCTATACACTGGACAGAAAACCTACATATATGCTCAATGTAGGCCGGGTATGGTTTTCTGTATGTAGGTTTTTCTCCTCTTCTGGCCTCAGGCTCCATCATCTCCCTGATCATTCTCTGTAGTGCCTCCATGTCATTTAAAGTATTGACAGGGTGTAGATTTCGTCCCTGTTTTGGCTGGATGTGGTCAATCCTGTGCTCCATCCTATATGGCCTGAGCAGAGCTTCCTCCCTGTGTTATTCCTCTTCTTCAAAATCTGGATGATTCCTCCAGTTTACCCCCGGTCGATTCCTATCATTGTTGGCAAAGGGGTTGATTCCCCCTTTACCTCTTCTGCCTCTTGCTGGTGGAGGGAATGGATTGGGATCCATCTTCTGGGTCTGTAAGGCAATACTGCTGGTGCGTCAGGCAGAAGTGCCAGGGGCAGATCACGTGGAGCCACAGGTTGTAGAATAGGTGGAGGTTCTGGCTGATTTTGAGGAACCTGAACCGGTGTATGGCCTTCTGGCCTGACTGGACCTTCATGCTCTTGGACAAGAAGGGCTCATCCCCTCTGTCCAGCCTGGATCTCTCCATGGCCTGGTATTCCAGCTATCTGTGCAATGAGAGGGTTCTCCTGATATGGCCATGCCAATCCTGGTGAAGGACCGTAAGGAAGGTCTAGTTGTTGGACCACCATATCAGAATTTGGAATCTTGGCCATAGCAGCTTCACGGTCCTTCCTGAACTGCCTGCTGACTTGCCATTGCATCATGGTAGTCATGTTATTCAGAGTGTCCGGGCTCCTTTGTGTTGTAGCCTTCTGCTGGAACACAGCTTCCTGTATTTGATTCAACCTCCTGGAGTGTCTACTTCTAGTACTTCCATGGGCTGATTGCCTAGCATCACTTTCTTCTGACTTCAGTCCCTCTCGGAGAGCTGCTTTATCTCTTTCCATTGCGTAGCGTGGGTTCTGGCTAGAACTTCCAATATTCATATAGTTTATGAAACTTCTTTAGGAGTATGTATATTGAGAAGTCTTACTGGGCGTGCCAAATTGTTCATCCGTTTTGTGTTTGTTCCTGTGATGGTAGGGTAAAGTTCCTCATTGCCTTGAAAACCATTGACTGGTCAACAAGTCAACTTTCTTTAGTGTTCGAGCGTGCCACTGCTAGCAATAACAATTCTAGCAAACTTCTTAAAATAGATAACTTGTGCCCCAAGTTACTGATTTCTAAACAAGCGATTGTGAATTTAGGTGAGGAATATCTCCCAAGTAAGTTCTTTTCTTGCCTCAGACTGGTGAGGACTTCACAATTTATCTCAATACAAGATTAGTGGTTCTGGCTAGAATAAATGATAATAAAGTGAACTATTTTAGGCAGAACTGCCTTTTACAAAACTATAGAGGGAAAAATCAACTCTAAAAAGACAAAAAGATGATTGGAATTCCATTTCTGCTTGGATAGAAGCTTCTGATCCGGGCTGGACTGGGTATGTCTGTGCTAGACTCAACTGTCAATAACTTCAACTGCTTAGCTTCAATTATAAAATCGATTCCAAAATTTGAATTTGGCATAGCTTTAATCTATTTCAAGCCCTGGAAGGCTTTTTCAATGGGCAGAACTGCGGCTTTTTCAATCTGCAAGGGGCAGAAGTGGCTGGACTTGAAGACTTACTGAGTTGGCACTGCACTATGGTACCTGTTTTGCTTGGTCAGGGCTCTCCACAAATTTGTTGAGGTTTTCATATTTGTGAAAACTCAAACTCTGCTTGTCTTGGCTTTTGCTGAACCAAATTTGTAACGAGAGAAGTCTCGTTTTGAATGACTTTTTCTCTAAGCCTGAACTTTGAAATTCTAAGAGAGAGAGAGAGCTTTTGATTACTCCAGTTTGTTTGAAGGTTCTTAGTGATCAAGTGATCATTTTGAGTTTCTTGCCTTTGGCTGATTTTTGGTTGTTTGATTGATTGTTTTTTTGACTTTTTTGTGTGTGTTTGCCCTATTCACCCCCTCTTATATTTATAAGAAGTGCTTTGGAGTAGGGTTTCTTTCTTTTAATAATGGGCGGCAAAATTTTCTCAAAAGATCTTTCATTTTTAAATGTAAAGAAAGAGGGGTTTTATCAATTCTGGCAGATAAGCTCTCTCACTAGTCAGTTCCTTCATATCATTTCCCTGTATTTTTCAAACTGTGATGGTTAGTTTGATCTTCCATTTGAACAACTTCATGTCCTCCTGCTTATCTCCTTTTGAGAACATGGTCTACTTATCTCTTGGGAGAATCACCCTCTTTGGAGAAAAAACATTATTTCCAAATATGTAAAAGGGATCTGATCTTCTGATGGCAAAGATTCAGAGAAGTCTTCTCCTAGCTGTCTATTTTTGTTAATCCCAGTTGAAAATATCGACTTTTCTAAGTCAGAAACATCATGTGGGTCTATTCTTGTTTTGGGTTTCTTTCTTTTAATAATGGCAAGCCCAAATTCGAGTTGAACCATGAGCTGATTCCTTTCTTTTCTCTATTTCTCCGAGGCCCGGGTTTTGCGTTCTTAGATAGCTCCTGAGCTAGGCTTCTTTTAGATGTGGGCCCTTGATTATAATTTGGGTCCTGAACTGCCTAATTTTGTTTTTGTCTTATCCTTCTAGGCCTCCAGTGCTGGGCTGAGTGTGTGTTTTGGCCCAATTTCAAGGAATGCAGGTGGTTGCCCAAAAATTGTCATGGGCTTTTGTTTTGCTTGGGCTGTGTGTTAAATTAGGCCCAAACAACGTCGTTGAAGGCCGACATTGTGCAGAACTTCTTTAATCCCTGCGCAAAATTGGGATTGGCCGGGTCAATGTCGAAGGACTTGCTGAAATTGAAGATACCGTTGGTACTCCATAAATTGTTATCAAAATACAAATTGTCTGCAACCCTTCTGAAAATTCAGCAAATCAAACTTCAAAGAAATTGACATTTTGAAGTTTCAGCATTTTGTGGTAGAGCTCAAGCACATGTTCCAAATTCGCATTGGAATTCCTCTTCTTTATATTAGCAGCAACTTGAAGTCTATCGCTACCAAAACAAAATATTAACTTAAAATAAACAAACTCTGATTTATTTGAAATACAAGTTGGGAAATCATTACAACAACCAAAAAAAAAAAAAAAAAAAAAAAAAAAAAACAAGGGGCAACCATTATTTGGTGACATTTGTGGTGAATGAGAGAACCCCTTTTCATCTAGGCTTATTGTTTTTGGTGTTGCGATGGCAGTGGCTTCTATGACCATCGACGAGGTGGTTAGGCTGGGTCGGGAAGGGGAAGAGAGAACAACATAGAGTTTTTGTTTTTGTTTTGGTTTTTTAATGTTATTTTATTATTATTTTACTCTCTTTTTTATTTGAAATACTTTAAAAGAATTAAAAACAAAGAGTTAATTATAGTTATTTTCAAGGACACGTGTCAAGTGTTAAGTTAGGTGGTGAGGGTTTTCTACCGAACTGGTTCTTAACTTTGTGTATAAAATAATATAATAAAAAAATATAGATCATAATAAAATAAATAAAAACTTATGCATTTATATGTATATATCGAAGTTATGTCACATGGGGAAAGCTAGCATAAAAAATGATTTCCAGGTACACCTGCCTCGATGATGGCTTCACTTCACGCCAAGATGATCTCCCGGGGAAGTTATCTGAGATCAACCGCCCAGGGTCGATTTGCAGAAATCAATCATAGTAAGTTTCCTGTTTCTTCCTTTAAAAAATAGAAGTTTCCTGTTTGTAAATTCTAGTAGGTTTAGGATTTAATTTCCTGATTCTAGTTGTTTTAGTATTACGTTCCTGTTTGTAGCAAGATTATGCTTTTTAAATTGTGATTCAGACTTCCCAGCCTCAACCAACCATAATAAAACTCCCTTCTACAGCAGCGGCATCCCCAAACCCTAAATTTCCTTATGCCTCAATTTAGCTTTTCCATCGCTAGCAAATGCCCTGTCAATCATCTAGTATCATGGGGGATCAGAAAATATCTCAACCTTCAACCTCCGATGAGCTCACCGATGTTGAGGATCATGCCTTGACGAGCAAAGATGAGCTCCTGGGCAAGATATCAGAGATGGAGAACTCTCTAGCCGCACTTTCCAACCAGCTTGAGCTTCTACTAGATAAATTCTCTCTACTTGTTCTTGTTCTGCCACCTTGATGATGCTACAGGTTTTATATCTCTTTGCTACCTTTAAGTTCACCTGTGTTACATATGCTATTGAATTTGAATTAGATTACCAACTCCTCTTTGGAGGGCTCTGTCCGTTTCATTAAGGTGTCTTCTTGCAGACTCTTATTTTCTGTGGAATCGGATGTTATATTTTACAATTACGATGATTTATATATTATATATTCTATGAATTGAACTTTGCATGTAATTATCATGTATCTTACTCTTTAACATTTAAATTTTAATGATGATGATCTACTCCTACACTTGCATTCACAGTTTGTAGGAAAATGGACAAGTTTATTTATTGATACCTTATTACTGGAATTTTTACTGTTTTGTTTGTGTTTATTCCTATGAAGTGTTTATTCCATCTCCTCTGTCCAGCTTGCCCATGGAGATGGAGGGGGCGCATGCATCAAAATCAGGGGGAAGCCCGATCTGTATATTTATTCATTTTTTTGGCAAAAGAACCTACTGCAATTTATGAAGTGAAATTCAGACATGGAAGAGGAGTCTCTCATGAACCCACAACAATTGGACTTGTTGCCAAGTTCAATGAGGATACTTGTTGTCATGCACAGATTTTCAAACGCTCGAAATTATATTGTCTTACACAACACATTACCTCTTTTTCAAGATGTTCATGTCACACCTCGAATCGGCTCCGCCGTACTGTCACATTCCATATCTGCTCCGTCGTAGCACGATATTGTCCGCTTTGGGCCCCCCTCTCTGTCCTCACAGTTTTGTTTCTGGAAACTCACGAGCAACTTCCTAGTGGGTCACCCATCATGGGATTGCTCTAGCCCAAACTCACTTAACTTCGGAGTTCCCCTGACTTAGAAGCCAGTAAGTTCCCAAAAGGCCTCGTACTAGATGGAGGAGGGCATGTACATATAAGGCACATCATCCCCTCTCCATTGGTCGATTTGGGATGTTGTTCATCCATTCCTTCCAACCTAGGCAATAAATCAATAGCAATGGTTGTGTCCGCGTATGACAAGATTTACTGTGTTGCAAGTCCATGCTACTTTCCATCATTTTTGGAGTCTTCCTTCGAGAGGTATGATCCTGATAAGAACATTTGGGAGAAAATGTCGCAGAATTCCAATGCAAAAATTATGGTATTGATGAAAACACAAGAAACTTGAAGAAAACTTACTACGCAAAGCAGGAAACAAGATCAAACCATTGAGGGCTCTCCATATCCACAGAATGAACAGTTAAATGTATGGTCTTGATCATATCTCTTCTTGCTTCTCCAACAACAATTTGAAATGTGGTGATACAAATATATTGAACCATGAGACCTGCACTTTGCCAAATGAACCAATTAATCATAGCTCAGCAACTCAAATGGCAATGGTGGACGTGCAATCTCCAAGCCTTCTAATATAAACAGTTGTCGTAGGGAATATGCAATACCACCATCATCGCCTTTTTTGCATCCTTGCTATAACACAATTCTCATATAAGACATAGAAAGTCTTGCCTACAATCACGACCCTCCCTATGAAAATGGCATAATTTACAGGGGTATAAACTTTCACTCGATTCTATTGGTTTCTACTCAGATGAGTGAAAACAACTTAAATTATATATAATTAGTGACCAATACATATGCCAAAGTAGCCTTACTTCTCTTGTTTGATACATCAATGACCAATTAACCTTTTTTTAACTTGATTTTTTTTTTCAAAATTCGGGGGGTACCGCATCAAAAAGAAAAAAAAAGATGGAGTGAGACTTGATTGCTCATGGATGTTTTCTCAATTTGATTAGAAAAAAGTATGGGGAAGATTAGGATCCTTAGAGTATCCACAATGGACTCCCTAAACCATACCCTTAGACAAATTTTAGGGAGAAATTGGAAAAATACAACTCCAACCATGCTCCCTATCCACCTCCTAAAATAGGGAGACTTCTAGGAGCTCCTAAATCTGAGGAAAGAAAAAGAACTCCTAGTGACTCCTTATAATTTAATGCTGCTTTATTTTATGAGTATTTTAAACCTTTAATTAATGCTAAGTATTTTATATATATATATATATATTTATTTATTTATTTATAGAGATGAGCCAATTAAAAAAAAAGTTATAGCATTTATGACTCCCTAATCTAGAGAATATGATTGAAGTTACAATTTTATAGAGAGCTCCTAACTAAAATAGCTTTTTATATGTTTTTAGCTAAATTTTAACTAAAAAAATAAAGAGCATGATTGTAGATGCTCTTAGTTTCGGTTCATTATGCATCTCTCCCAATTGATTTTCTTGTTACATATGTGATATTGAGGTTAGATATTATTCAATAAGTGTCTCAAGTAATATTTCCAACAACTCTAGAAAAAAAAAAAATTCTCTGAAAAAGTTTAGACCTTATAAATCTACAAGTCCTCTACATATTCAAAAATATTTCACTATTAGGTCATCAAAAATATTCCAAAAAGCCACCCACACAAAAATAATAATAATAAATAAATACATATATATACGCACGAAAATATCTAATTAGGACGCAAAAACCCATAACTAAACTCCGAACCAAATTAAATCACATCCAGCAAATTTCAGTTACAACATTATGTAAGCTTTATCTTTGTTTTCTCAAAAGTTTGGTCCAAGATACGTCCTGGCCAAAGTGTAAAGTAGTCACTAAATTAAACAAACAGAAGTATAAACCAAGTTTGTTTTTTTTTTTTTGGTTAAAAAAACTTTAAATGAGCAATAATATTTATTTTCTCACAAATATAATTCAAGAATTTATAACATAAAAGATGGTGGAATCTTTAGCACTACAAAGACATATTTCATATGGTACACACTAATGAGATATAAATTGTACGGATTTAGCTAAGGTTAGTTTCCCACTCTTCATTGATCAAATGCAGATCTCAAACAAAGCAACGATTAGAAATTGTTCAAGCGTGCGTACGCGACTGAAGGAACATAGCTCTGATTGTACATGTTGAAGTAGAGAACTTGAAATGACTGGAATTAGAATGAAGATGGGGTATGCTATCTTGTACCTATTGTGTGGGTAACAAGGCCCTACACACATACCACACTCTTGAAGTCACAACAAAATATATATATTCTCTTTACATCATAAATTTGGGCCAATAAAAGCATATCAGTCTCAGAGAGAATCATAAGTGGTGTACACAGAGACTCCAATCTTGCCTTCTGCCCAAATAACATAACATGGTCAGTGCTGATTCAGTACATACATCACACAAATATTGCCCAAAAATACAGAAGGTTTCATTAGAGAGGCACCAAAGATCTGGAAATTGACCCCATCAAAACCCGTGGCCCCATTAGGCGATGTGCAAGGAGAGGATACCATAGCTTTGATAATCAAGCTAAAAAGAAAAAGGAAAAAGAAGAGATGTTTGCTGTAAGACATGAGAGTTATTGAGAGAGAGAGAGAGAGTATGAGACGTTTTCACTGTTTTTGTTTTATGAAACTGTTTTCCAATTAAGTTATTAAATACATTCTTGAATCCTGAAAATGCAAACTCGTTTTCTCGTTGTCATTTTCTGAAAATATTCTCTGAAAACATTCTCCGAAAACGTTACCGAACGGGCCCAATAGATTAAGATATTACATTTATCAGTTGGGCCCAGCATAGTGTCATACCAAAATGTAATTCAAAGTGTTAATAATTGTCTGTAAAAGTAATCTATTAATAGTATGCATATGGTCAATTTTCAACTTAGATTTCCCACATTGAAGTGAATAATTCTAGATGGAGATCACTCTCCTTTGCTTATCTATCTCTTTCTCTCTGATTTTTAATCTCAATCTATTCTATCTTTTTCTCACTTTTTCTACTTTCTCTCCATTTCCTCTCAATTTCCTCACCTTCCTTTCCCAGGTCTGTCCTTACATGCCCTATAAACAGGCTTTGGGAGACCTATATCTTCTGCTGATATTATCTAGGCATAACAATTCACAATATATCTTACTTTGTGATCATTAAGCCAGAGATTAATATCCAGTTAAAAGATCTACATGCAGATGTAACTCTAATGCATTTATTATGAGCTGATTAATTACACATCCTATGCATGCACAGAAACTTATTAGAGACTCCTCTCAACCCAAAAAAAAAAACTTTTAGAGACCACTTTTTTCTGCAGTGTTTGTAACCAAAGTGATGGTGACGTGATGGTATGTTTTACAGGGCTTGAATTGAACCCAAATTAAACTTCTTTCTGCATAAAGGGTGCTTTAGCTAATTGAATGCCTTTCTCTTTCTGGTCTGTGCCTTGCCTAATCTTTCACTCAATCTCATCACTACTTATCCGCAGTACCACTTTCACAGGCAGAGTGATGCAGATGCCACTCTAACTTTGTAGCAAAAGATAGGCTGAGCCTAACCTCCTTTTTTTCATATCACACATCAATTTCTAGCTTTGCACAATGCGTTGAGCTTATTACTTGAGCTTCTCAGCTACTGAGTCAGTGACCTCATTGCTCAAAGGAACCACTATTTCAGAGCATCATTACATCAATTATTTATGATGGTAAGTTGTTAATTAACTCATCAACTGTAAAATTATGTGATCAGCTGGTCCTCTAGCATCACAATTTCAGAGAATTCAGAGTTCATTAAAAACCAAGATTAGGTGATAAGCATCTAGCTTTTCTTTTAGCAGGTCATTAAGCATCTTGTTTGATTATATATGTTTCAGTTAAAGTTGCATTTTGTTAGTTTGTTCCTTTTTCTTTTTTTTTCTTTGATCCACAGGACATTCCTAACAATGTTGCATCTCAGAATACTCTATCTATCATTTCATCATTTGATTTTGTACTAAATTCTCTCCTCAACCTATTCCTTAAGATATATATTTCCTTTTTCATATTCCTTATATCCATCAAACTTACATCATTGATTCTGCTTAAACAATGCACTGATAGAATCCTTATCCAACTTGACCTCATAGAAGTAACTAATTCAATTCCGAATCTCTGAAAATAGATGCGCACTCAAAATTTATATTCTACTATTCTAGCTAGTCCTCTTCTACTGTATAGCACAGAATCAAAGAGCTTATAGTAATGGGTTCATGCTATGTGTCATAACCTTGTTGTCCTTCCCACCTACTCTGGAATTGGAGAAAAACTTCTGTTAGACTATTTTTGCCCCGTGATAATATTGAATAGCAGGAACATGCCATGTTAAAAGATGACACGCCTCACATCTACGCCTCGTCTTTCAAAACATTGCTTAATATATAGGAGGATTGAAGATCAATATTATACATGTCATCTTTCTCTATGCGTCTAGCTTGTCCTCTTCTACTGTATAGCACAGAATCAAAGAGCAAGCAGTGGGTTCATGCTATGTGTCACACAACCTTGTTGTCCTTCCCACTTACTCTGAAATAGGAGGACTATTTTTGCCACTTGATAATATCTAGTAACAGAACAATCCAGCAAGTATTTACATGTTATCTTCCAACTAGATTATTGTGCCACTCAATACTATCACAGAAGAAGAAAAGCCCCATCTTTTTCTATAAAATGGAGTTGTATATGCTCAATCATGGAGAGATGATTTGAGTAGAACTCCACCAGAAAACAAAATCATAAAATAGACAACAGTGACTACTCACTAGGATTCAGGTTCATAATTGATATGCATGCTTTTTTAATGGGGAACAAGTGGAAAGCAAAGTAGTGTATGCTCACGGTAAAGAAAAGAAAGGAAAAAATTATATGGATATGACGATGATAGATCCATGAGTTAGTGGCTCTCTGACGTACGTCCTTTAAATATTTTTTTTATTCGAGCATTCTGCATTCATTTGTACAACAAACCCAAATTCCTATTTGGGAATATGGCCGTCCACATCAGAAATCAGAATATCTAGAAAATGATGTGACATGAGATTTACATGTGATGTAAAGAAAACAAATATTCTGAATAAGAATCGAAGCCTCCAAGGCTTTGCATTGATCACAAGTTGATTTTGAATCATTTTTAATTTGAATTTACACCAAGTTTTTGTTCAACCACAGAAATAGTAGTTGACATGAAACAAAGTTGTGCACTCTATGAACATTATCAGAATTTCTACTAATAATTTAAGTTGGGAATTAGCCATTTCTGCTTTCTTTGCTTTATTCCATCAAATTAATGTGGCAGTTGTTTGACCAGAAATGATTTCTTTGACATGCAATGAAGGCATTTGGTAATTTTAGTGCACAACTTGCTTTCTACAAAAAAGAGTTTTTCTTAGCCTTTTTCATTAAATTATCTTGGGTTTTCTTCTTTCTTTGAGTCTACCTCTTGCAATTTAGTTTACTACAAGTGGATTTCTTCTTATCACTATCATTATTAACCTAATTCACAAGCACAACACAATCTCATGATATTCTATGATCAATTGGCATGGATGCTTAATTTGGCCCTTGCATTCTCATCACGCACTATAAATCCACCGCCAGCTCTCTCTCTCTCTCTCTCTCTCTCTCTCTCTCTCTCTCTCATAATTGGCAGTTACAAAAAGAGGCTACCAATTTGCTCCTTTTGAGAAACAAACATCCTCACGAAACCCATGCATTCATAAAAATAATCAACCTTATCTGAGAAAAGAAAACACAACAAGAAATTAGAAAAACCAGATTCTCATCTTTCACTTGGAAATTTATATTTGAAACAAACCCACCGAGCCTGCAAGCCATTTTGCTCAACTACACAATGTCTGCAACATCAAATTTGGAAGAGGACCCAAGAGAGAGAGCCTCTCTGCCACCTTCATCCCTACCTCTCACTCAAAAATGGCCAGCCAACTTTTTCAAGGTCATGCTTTTAGAGCTGAAAATACAAAGAGGAATAGCTCTTCCTTTGGTGGCAATGAATTTGACATGGTTTGCCAAGATAGCAACCACAACAGCTTTTCTTGGCAGGCTCGGAGAGCTTCAGTTGGCCGGTGGCACGCTTGGTTTCACTTTTGCTAATGTCACTGGCTTCTCTGTCTTAAATGGGCTCTGTGGTGCCATGGAACCTATATGTGGTCAAGCTTCTGGAGCTAAAAATATTAAGCTCCTTCACAAGACCCTTCTCATGACAACTTTCTTTTTACTGCTTGTAACACTTCCTATTTCTTTCTTGTGGCTCAATGTTGACAAAATCCTCATCCATTTTGGCCAACAAGAAGACATTTCAACAGTTGCAAAGAGCTACCTTTTGTATCTCCTGCCAGACTTGGTAATTACCTCATTGCTCTGTCCCATCAAAGCCTACTTGAACTCCCAAAGCATCACACTACCTTCAATGTTCTGCTCGGCTTTGGCGCTTGCGCTTCACGTACCGATCAACATCTTGCTTGCAAAATCCAAGGGTCTTGAGGGAATTGCAATGTCTGTGTGGATCACTGATCTCATGGTTGTGCTTCTACTTGCCTTGTATGTGTGCTGGATTGAAATTAATGCCAAGGAAGGGGGTTGGAAGGAAGGGGGGTGGCTTGATCAAGGTGTTGGGGATTGGATTAGGCTGCTCAAGCTTTGTGGACCTTGCTGCCTCACTACCTGCCTTGAATGGTGGTGCTATGAGATTTTGGTATTGCTAACAGGCAGGCTTGCCAATGCAAAGCAGGCAGTGGGAGTTTTAGCCATTGTATTAAACTTCGACTACTTGCTTTACTCAGTCATGCTTTCTCTGGCAACATGTGCCTCAACCCGTGTCTCGAATGAGCTTGGAGCAAACAGAGCGGGCCCTGCTTATCAGTCTTCATTTGTGTCTATAGCAGTGAGTGTGGTCTCAGGTTGCATAGGTGGCTTGGTGATGTTAGCAGCCAGGGGAAGTTGGGGGTCTTTGTTCAGCCATGATAAGGGAATTGTAAGAGGTGTGAAGAAGATGATGCTGCTAATGTCTTTAGTGGAGGTGGTAAATTTCCCATTAGCAGTTTGTGGAGGAATTGTCCGGGGAACCGCAAGGCCGTGGTTAGCCATGTATGCAAATCTTGGAGGGTTTTACTTCCTGGCCTTGCCCTTGGGAGTTGTTTTAGCATTCAAGGTTGCACTTGGGCTCAGTGGATTGTTGATAGGGTTCTTGATTGGGATGGTTGCTTGCTTGATTCTGGTTCTCATGTTTGTTGTAAGGATCAATTGGGACGAAGAAGCTTGCAAGGCACAAACACTTGCCTCAGTTGCATGTCAAGCACCAGAACTTAACAAAGATGGCAATAACAAAAGCATGGAGAGAGCTGATGTTGAAGTCTAAGAATAACCTGAGAGTATTTGTTGTAACACAAACGTCTCTTACTCTGAGTCATATCCTAGTAAACCAGAACAGGTAAAATTTTGCAGGGTTCTGGATCATCCACTACATAACCATGGCTCCAATGGCCAATTCTAGAAAGGTGTTTTGAAAGAGAAATTTTGAGTAATTTGTGTAGTTCCCAGGTTATTTCTTCATGAGTCCATGTAAATTAAACAACTCCCTAGTGTAAAAAGTGCCCAACTTTATATGCAGTCAAGAAATTTCTGGAGAGCAAGAGGTTAATGAGGCCTAAAAAATGCATACATAGACAATGCAATTCATGGCAAAAAGAATCGCCTATATAAGTAGTCACACGGCATTCCATATAGAAGAAATTATTGCAGATTTTTTTTTCCCAGTTTCCAAAATTCAAATACAACAAAAATTACTTGTATGTTGATGAACTTGTATAAGCTCAGAGGAATCAAATGCAGACTACCATTCAGGATAACATCATTGTTCCATACTTGATGATGAAATTTATATCACAGGTCCCAATGAACAAACAAGGAAGACATCATCCATCAATGAATCCAGGTTTAGAAATTAGAGACTCCAGCTCTTTCACTTTCTCTTCATTGAAGCCTAGGGTAGCCAGTATCTTGTGACCCGGCGATTCCACTTCGTACCAAATGCCAAGAAGCAGATGAGATGTTGTAATTTCCCCACTATCACCTGCAATTGAGAAATGGCAAGGACTTTAGAGCAAAGCAAAAAGACTTGACAATTCTGATTTGCCAAAGAAAAGATGTTCATGTGCCCTTGGAGCTCAATCCCGCAATTCCACAAGTGAGGGTACATTGCGCAAGTAGCAAGAGCAACACAGGTTCGATTTCAAATAGTTCTATTATCTAGGTTGCTGTCAAGAATCAGATAAATGAGATTTTTAATTTTTTTAATCAATTATTGAAACCATTACATCTGATATTCCCATCTCACAAAGCAGAATTACAATTACTTTTTCAAGCTCCATCGAGCATAGGACTTTACATGGCATTGGAAGAAAAAGCTTGTCATTGTCATAGAAATGAAAATTGGATCTAATAACTAACTAACTAACAACAACAAAAATAACTGTGTCATTTCAAGAAAACACAAATTGTTCTTACATTCTAGGGAAGCTCAGCTCCCATTATCTACAATGACCCATTCTAGAAGATGGAAGCTGCCATAGAATCCAAAATCTTTTACCCATATAATGAGAGATACGTATACTACTGTTTCTTTTCAACCCAAAAATAATGCAAATCAATGAAGCCAGTCCATGCATTGAGTATTCATCTCCCTACCCACTTCCTGTGACTAGGGACAAATTTCACTTGACTAATTCTTATACAAAGCAATTATGAAAAGCCTTTTACTATAACACTTAACCCAGAGCTCTATATTTTTAAAAGATTACACTCTCAAGCATACAAATTCTCAGATGGAAGATTATAAAAATGAAATTACAGAAAACAGTAAACATTTAAACAACGTCAGAAAAAAATAAATTACAAAATCATATGTTACGCTATTCAAATAGAAGTTACTAGCCTATATCCATGTTCATCTCAGCCATCTTACGTTACCTATCAATTTATTTGTAATCATATATTTGTCTGCATGTTAAGATGCTACTAGAACGAGCGTCCATGCAATTCCAAAGACAGCAGTAGACTTAAGCTCAGGAGACATGCAAGAAACAATTTGAATTCACAAAAAAAATTGAAAGGCCAATCAAAAGAATTTCCAAAATAGAAAAATTTATATATGAATCAAACATCCCAGAAACACACCAGATTTTAGCTTTTTGTCAACAGCCCAATCAAGCACTCTTTGAGCTTCCTCAGTTAATGTGGGATGCTCAGGACTGAAGAACCACGTGTCAGCTTTCCCAAGTAACTTGATCGTTTCTTCACGAACCTTGAAAAGTGTAATTCCATTTGCCCATAAAAATTTTGCAGCCAGACTGGTTCCTGCAGCCCAATTCAAAGATGGCTAAGTATACCATATAATCAGTACAGAGTAAGTATGTGGTCAGATATTCGTAAGATTTTTTTTATGTAGTAAGAAGATGCTTTTTATCTTATATTTGCATCCCCATTTAGCCTTTAGTTGTTGTTTTTGGATTGTAACTTCCCTAATTTCACGACTAAGCTATTATGCATAAGATAGAAGCATGCACACAACTAGACAAGGGCCCTTCTAACCAGCACAATTTTCTAACTAAGCTTCAACTTATGCAGCTCACTTGAAGACTACATTATACTCATGCACATTGCAAGCAACTAAATTTCGAAATTTGCAGTTCTAGTCTTACATAATCTAGTCCTTTAACTCTGATTGTTTGACTCCATCTTAAAATCGGATACAACATTATCGAAAATGGAATCAATACTTAATTATAGCAGCACCAATCAACCCAACTACTTGCATTATGATCAGAGAAAAAACATTCAAAAGCAATTGAATCATTAACTAAAAAATTAACAACAATGAAAGCTTAAAAGAGTCAGAAATTTGCTTACCCTCTATGAGGATACCCATAAGAATTGCTTCAGTCCCAGTAGTTGCATACTTGAGCTTCCTGGCTTCCAATTCACCCATGGCAAATGACTTTATAGCCCTCCAAGACCACCTGCATCCACTCACCCAATACCAAAACCTCAATCCCAACAACAAACCCAGAAATAAAAAACACTAAGCCCACAAAAGATATTAAAAAGACACTCACTTGGGCACTTTCTCAGTGAATGAAACTCCTTCCACATTTCTGTAATGACCAAATCAGAAGCATCTGAAACAACAGCTTGGTCATCCAAAACGTGAAAAAGAAACAAAATTGAAAATTCATGAAAGAGGGACTTGGAAAAGTGAGAAAACGGGACTCACGCAGTAGGGAGGCTGAGGCAGACTGTGGCAGAGAAAGGTCGTAGCTTTGGCTCTTGGGTTCTGACTCTGATGCTTGAGGACTGAAGCGAGAGACTGTTGGCTCCCAGCCATGGCTTCTGCAAACCGTCGGGTCTCAAATTCCGCGTCAGAGTTGGCGAATCTAGGCCGGGTTTAGTTCTGTGATTGGGAATGAGAGCTGTGGTAGATGTTGGAAGCTTGGACAGAGAGTGAGCGGCCATTTTTGGAAAACCAAATGGAGCCTCAGTGAATTGGATATGTGGAAGGATATGGATTGGAATTTGTAACTTGGAAGCAAGAACGAGACGCGTCGTTTTCTGTGTACCTTTGTGTTTGAACTTGGGTTGGGCTTCCTTCCACCCAAATTCTTTTATGGCAGTTGAAATTGTGCTAGTTGTAGTTTGGGTGTTGATAATTGGACTCAACCTATTTCTTGAGAGGTTTCACCACAAACATCATCCCTTAGACACCAAATTTCAACCGTTTTACACCAATATTTTGTTGCTTTCTTGATTGTGATGTTTGATGCAATCCATTAGTTCCTTAGAATTCGATTCAAAATGGATGGTAACACAGCTATCTTCAATTGTTTTGTTATTTCTACTGTTTTTGGTGCCCTCCAACATTTCTAGCAATTTTATCAGCACACCGATTGCAATGTAGTAGAGAAAAAAAGCCATTTCAACAAACAGTTTTAAAAAAAATATTTGCATGTTGAGAACTTAAATATGCACATCTTGTTAGAACACGAAGTGAGTGTGACTTGCAAACCACATGCTATATACATTTTTTTACATGTTCTATTTCGCATGATTAAGAATGATGGACTTGTGAATAATGAAATTGTGTGGATAATAGGAGGTACCAAGTTAAATAATTATAATTCTAAATTCTAAACATATAATCTAATAACATAATACATTATCTATATATATATAAAGCAAAAGGCAGAGAAAGGTAAAACATTTAAAATACCAGAAAATATCATTGGTTAATGCAAACATTAAGAATTGAAATTATTAATTAAATTAGGATAATATGGTAAATTCACACTTTTTCATATTTAAAAAATTAAAATTAAAAGAAAAATCAGATAATGAATCCTATTTTTATGGAACACAACTATCCATTATCTTTTTTAATTTTAAAATTGTAGGGGTCTTTTTGTTCCAGCAGCCCGACGAATGGGCTTGGGCTGCCGTAAGAGGAAAACGAACCAAGATTCCCCAAGTGTCTAAGTTCAGAAACCAGGCTCCCAAAAGAGTTTTTGAAGAGCTTGATGGGACTCTAAAAAAACACTCTCAGGTTCTTTTCACCAATAGCCAAGTAGACATAATAAGTTGATGAGTGGCTTAGCTTGAGTAACTTGTGGCATGGGAGCTAAGCTTTCACAAGTTTAGCAATTAGAGAGAAAGAGAAGCGTGAGTTTCTTATAGAGAACAAAAGGATAAAATGGAACAGAGGAATATTAGGGAGATTTCTTTCTTAGAGAAAGGAGAAAACAAACAAGAAAGAAGATTGGGTGGCTTGAGTAAATTCTCAGTTGCTTGACAAAGCTTGGTTAGGCCTTCGATGGTTGATTTTGTTGGGTAGAAAAAGGTCCATTTTATAGGCACAAAGAATACCTAATTTTGTCTAACCTCCTTCTTCCTTTTTCTTTGCTTCTTTCCATTCAATCATATTCGGTGAAATTTTTCTATCCAAGGCGCCTAGGTAAGGAGCCCTTTGGGGTTCCAAGGTTTTAACACAACTGGTCTTCTCCATAGGGGTGAGGCGCCACCCACTTTCTTCCTGATTTTTCCTATGGGAGCTAACAGAGGAAAATGGAGAATGGACATACAGTTTGCCCAACGGGTATCCTTCTTGCTCGTATGAATTTCCTTTGGTTTTTACGTTGGCTCTTGTTGACTCTGTCATAGAACTTTGGGCAAAGGCTGAACACACTTGCTAGATATTTTGTAGAACACTGGGCTGGGCTTTTCCCAAGGTTTTGGGTCAGTGATACTCTATTCTACAGCGACCAGTTAGCTTGTTTTTGTCAAGCTGCTGGAAGCAGTTTGCATGTTGCGTTTTTAACCAAATATTTGGATGCTCTAACTAGGGTTTCCTAAGCAAACTACTATATTCCTTCTAAGGCATTGGTTCATGTTCTCTCTCTCATGCTAGCCCATGTGTTTGGGCTCAAGAAATATGCTTGAGTTTTGGGGCTCCCAAGTAGCCCAAAACTTTCATTTCTTGGCTCAACAATGGGCCTCATGAAAGCTTGTTACCATCCATACCACAACTCACTCAAGCAAGCCCCGGGCATTTGCTTGGCTTGGGCCCACTTAAGCTTGTAGCGTGGTTATGTGTGAAATAATAATTTCCTGCTTGGCATTGCATGTCAATCGGCGTGCTTTAATTTTATCATCCTTGAATAGGGGCATGATGCTTGACGGGATAATTAGCATGGGCTCGTAGAGTCAGTGTATTTTAACTCTTAGTATGACAGATTGCATATTTATTTGGCATGACACGTGGATCATGACTCGTGCGAGCGTGAAAGACAAATTTTGCATGCTCCGAATCGAGTCTTTTCTTAATAAGGTGTCGTATTTGGCCATAAATTTATTTGGGCACAACCCTAGATTTTTAGGTCTCAACAAAAATAAATTTAAATTTTTTTAAAAAGAGCCTCTCACAATCGCAGAAGCGCGTACGAAGAGGCTAATAACCTATAAACAAAATACAAGCTAAAAGTAAATGGAAGTTATTTTTAATATGGAGTGTAGAGAGCATTTCGCAAACACTTTCGTTTTTGGTTTATAGTTTTTTTTATTATACATGAATTTGGGTCATGGAAGTAGCCATCTCTGTCCAATGCTATGAAACTTTGGTTGTGTTCCTAGGATTAGATTAAGATAAGTCAATTTCCTATATTTAAAGCATGTTAAAAAAAAATAATTTATCAAATTGAAGGTAGAAGAAGGATTACTCAGGAAGAATACTTATCCCATATAATCCCCACAAAATGATATAATATCAACACCTTATAACTTCTCCTTTCTAAAATATTCGTGTTTATTTGTTGTTGCATAAGCCCATATTTCTTAACTGAATAATTCATCATCTGCTAAAGATGTTCGGGCAAAAATCAATAGTTCAAAAAAACAAAATACTGATTGAAAAACATAAAAATTCCATAAAGATGCAAATCATAGCCAAATTCAAGACTTTTTATTTTATTTTTGGAAAGGCAAGACTAGTACTCTTAATTTGTTGGAATTAGTAAGAAATTAACGAATGGGCATATGCAAGGAAAAGAAAAACCGAATGGGCTGTGAAGATAAAGTTACATGCGGTCCAACTTTAATTAGGGTAATTCCAATAATAATAAAAAGCAAGGTACCAGAATAAGAATGGGTCAAAATAGAAATTAGACAGAATTTTGGAGATAAAAAGAAATTTCTATAACAAAATTGTTCCTGGAAAAGCTTTTGCAATTCATAAACCCAAAGATGAACTTTAATCAAGCTACGAAGGCAAGCAGTAACTGAGCACATAAATAGAGAAGAGAAGAGAGGTCCCCAGGGTTTCAGCCGACGCCTTTCTCTTACCTCATTGTCATGTACAGAGATGAATGTCGTCCAAGCTAGAAAGGGTTCTACGTGTCTTTTCTTCTTCACTCTTCTTCTCTAACGCAGCACAACGAACGACGTCGCTTCGTCAGCTCCATTTCTTCGGCTCCGCTCAGCAGGACCAGAAATTGTAAGTTGCTCAAGTTTTTGTCTTCTTCTTCTGGAATTTGCTTTAGAGCTTTTCTGTTTCTTAGAAAAATGGTGGGTTTGGATTTAGTGTTAGGTTTTTTCTGATGGGTTTGGATTTTTCATTTACAGAGTTGAGATTGGATTTGGTATGAAAATTGTGACATTTCATTTAGGGTTCTTGTTGCTTCTTATTATTGGACTTTTTAGTTTTAGTTTTATCGTTTATGTAGATGAATGTTACTCTGGGTTTTATCGCAGTTATAGATGTTTTTTGTTTCTATTATTTTAGTCAGTTGTTATAGCTATTTGAATGTGCAAGACATGGATGACATACAAGAAGATATCATAAAAGGGATGCAGGAATTGAAATTTGAAGCGATGGCACTCTCTTTTCCTCAAGAAATCATACATGGGATCCTACTTAGGCTACCCGTTAAATCTTTGATCAAATGCACCTCAGTGTGCAAGGCGTGGAGGTCCATGATCATGAACAAAAGATTTACCCGCGCCCACCTCAGCCAAAGTAATAACATGAACGACAGGCACCTCTTCCTAGTCCACAGGGTTTCTGGTAGAGAGAGCTCCACTAGCGGCCACAGAGCCATCGTAAGCAAAGTAACAGAAGAGGTTTATTCTCTGCATTATGATAACCAGGCTTTTGACGAGTATGCCAAGATAGAATTTCCAATTGCTCCAAAGCAAGAAGTGCTCAATGAACATCTTCGTGTGGTTGGCACTTGTGACGGGCTAATCTGCCTTGCGGATGATATGTTCTGTTATTGTTACAACTTCTTTATATGGAATCCAGCCATTAGAAAGTTAGTGACCCTTCCCAGGCCTGCTATTACCTTTAGGACACATGGTGGGTACAATGCTTCTATTGGGTTCGGTTTTGATGCTAATACCAATGACTATAAGGTTGTGCGAGTTGTAACTTTACAGCATGAAGGTGTGGGGCCAACTCTTGCTGAGGTTTATTCACTAGCTACTGGCTCATGGACCAGTGTTGGTTCTGTTACTCCTTCATGTCAATTAAGTCGGGCATCCCAAGCTTTTGTTAATGGGGCTCTTCACTGGCCTGCACTCCGTCGAACAGATTATGGCTCTAACTATTTTATCTTGACATTTGAGGTGGGCAGTAAGTTATTTCGCGAGATACGGGTGCCAAAGAGTTTAATAGAATATAATTACCACCTGGGATTATGGTTGTCTATTTCAGGAGATGGAAAATCCATTGCTCTGTTCTCGATGGATTACAGATGTGAAGACTCTTTTCTTGAAATATGGGTGATGAAAGAGTATGGCATGGAGGAGTCATGGACCAAATTGATTACTCTTGGTCCACAAGGGCCAGAAAGACTTCTACCCAGGGCGTCATGTTTTAGGAAGAACGGTGAAGTATTATTGATACTTTCTGGAGCTAGGGTAGCATTTTCTACAGGTTCAATACTTAGTAATCAATATACTTTTTATGGACACCGCGCAAAATCAAATCACGAGTTAGTATCGCTAGACCTTGTGAGCAAAACCATTAAAAATCTTGGGATTTCTGGAGAAGCATATCAATATTGCAACGTTGATTCCTACAAAGAGAGCCTTGTCTTATCTGACCAGACAGATGCAGTTTCGTACCAAGAGAAAGAACAGGTAATGTGATTATAATGCTGAGAGCAGAGCATTGCTTGTGAAGAACAATTTTAATTCTTTGCTTGCCAGATATTTATATTCACTAAGAGCCTGATGGATGATTAAATTGATGTGGGTTCTTTTATGTTCATTAACTGATCTTTCGTCTAAACTCAATCCAGAAAGCAAGAAGTTCAAACCAGATAAATATGGTTAGACTGGTTTTTTTGCAAGTGCTAGTAGTTTTGTAACTTTTGTGACAACAATATCAACTTGGTTTGACTTTAAGAAGTGGACTGTGGAACTGTTGCTGTTTCCTTTCCATAGTGAACTTTGTGCATTCATATTACATGGTCTTACTTACTGCTGTAAATAGAATTGTTCAACAGTTTGTGCATTGAATTCCTTTTCCAATGGTTTTCATGCACACAGTAGTTAATTTTCCAATTAGTCTTCATTTATGTAAAGCATGAATTGGAAGTTATATTCGCACTCCTAACCGTTGTCTTTATTCATTTTTGTTTGTGACAGATTTGTAGTGCTGCAACGTCGTTTTCCTTCATTGCCTGAAATGATGGTGCATTTTGTTGACATGGAACTTCTTATCTCAAGTTCTGATGCATTTTCTCAAGTAGTTTTTACTTTTTTATAAATATAGTGTTTGAAAAAATTGGATCGACCTATGGAATTATGCACCTGTTAAATATTTGAATTGGTTATGCAGTTCTAACTATATACCTCTTTCTATGGAATCATCTATCAAATGATTTTGCAATTTTGTTGTCTTTTTAAAGTAAATTTCCTTGGCTCAACAATCAGCAGTATTTGCGTTTGATATATTTTGCTTCACATTCGAAATGTGTAGGTATATTAACCCAATGATTGGTTGTTGATTAATAGTTTCCATGGAACCTGAGACTTTTTGAGTTGGGTATGTTGATTGCACAATCCTGTTTGTTGAGGTAAGTGAGAGGAGGGGGAATGGGATTGAGACCAAAAAAACAATAACAACAAATAGCATCGACATTTCCATATGTCAGGCCTCCAACACATGGCAAGAGTTGTATAATCTGTCCTCAGGAGATAAATTAAAAATTGTTTTAAGTTATTAGCAAATAAATTGTGGTTTTATTTATCTGATTAAAGCAGCCACCTTTCCGACACAAGTTTTGTAGCCTTAACTCAAAAAGTAAATTTCTTTAAAACATAATTAAAACTGTATTTTTTGTTAATGTCGGATACATGAAGTGTTTTTCTTCACCGAATTTTCCTCTTTTGGAGTTTTTTATGACGAGATTTCGAACAGAGCCACTGAGATGGTCTTCAAGTTCCATTGTATTATGGCTGTTTTTTCAGCTTTGTTTTCAGTTAATGATCCCAAAACACAAACATGTTTGTTGGAATTAGAGAGAAATTGTAATAAACTAACGAATGGGCCTTCGGGGGAAAAAACAGAATGGGCTTGTGGATATAAAGTCGCATTACAAAAATTAAGTGGTCCAAGAAAAAAGTTAGAAATTAGACAGAATTATGGCGAAAAACGAAAATTTCTACAATAAAAATTAGTTCCCGCGAAAGCTTATGCAATTCATAAACCCTTAATAAACCCTAAGACGAACCATAGATAAACTTTAATCGAGCTTTTAATTCGGTACGGAGCTTTTTAGACGTGGGCAGGCAATCTCAGCATATAAATAGAGAAAGAGAGATCTCCAGAATGATCCATTAGGGTTTGAGCGGACCACCATGTACGGAAAAGAATGTCCTAGAAGAAGCTAGAAAGGGTTCTTTTCTCTTTTCACTCTTCTTCTCTGGCACAGCACAAGAACTAGACGTTTCCTCAGCTTCGGCTCTGCTCTTCTCATCAGGACCAGAAATTGTAAGTTCCTGAACTTTTTCTCTTCGTTTTTCTGGGATATTTTTTACAGCTTTTATGTTTCTTGTAAGAATGGTGGGTTTGGATTTAGTGTTAGGTTTTTTTTTCCTGATGGATTTGGATTTTTAATTGTAGAGTGGATGTTGGGTTTGATCTGAAAAATATGACAGTTTAGGGTTTTTGTTGCTCCTTATTACTGGATCTTTTTAGTTTTTAGTTTTATATTTTATGTATATGAATGTGACTCTGCTTTCAGAACAGCCCCTTGATTTTGTTTTTTTTAAAATAAAATTCTCAAATATAGGTTTTTGTTTTGTTTTCAGTTGGTATAACTGAGAGTGTGCAAGACATGGATAACATACATGATATCACACAAGGGATGCACGAATTGAAATTTGGAGAGATGGCAGGATCTTTTCCTCAGGAAATCATACAAGAGATCCTAATTAGGTTGCCCGTTAAATCTATGGTCAAATGCACCTCAGTGTGCAAGGCATGGAAGTCCATGATCATAAACCCAAGCTTTATCCGCACCCACCTCAGCCCAACAGTCGATGACGTTCACCTCCTACTCCACAGAGTTTCTGGTTTGGAGGTGACCACCTTACTCGGCAAAACGGTCATGGACAAGGTAGATGACGAGGTTCACTCTGTGCATTATGATAACCAGGCTTTCGATGAGTACGCCAAGATAGAATTTACAATTCCTCGAAAGCAAGAACTGTGGAACTCACATCTTCGTGTGGTCGGCATGTGTGACGGGCTATTCTGCCTTGCGGATGATATCTACCGTTATGGTTACAACTTCTTTATATGGAACCCAGCCATTAGAAAGTTACTGACCCTTCCCAAGCCTAAAGTTAGATTTGTTACACATCGTGGGTACGATGCCTCAATTGGATTTGGTTTTGATGCTATGACCAATGACTATAAGGTTGTGAGAGTTGTCACTCTATTGGATCAACGTGGGACACCAACTCTTGCTGAGGTTTATTCCCTGGCCACCGGCACATGGAGCAGTCTTGGTTGTGTTTCTCCTACATGTCTAACAGATGGACGCGCATCCAGTGCTTTTGTTAATGGGGTTCTTCATTGGCCTGTATTCTGCAAAACAAATGGTGGTCTTTACTATTTTATATTGACTTTTGACCTGGGCAAGGAGGTCTTCCGTAAGATACCTATGCCGAAGATTATCCAATGGAAATATGACTTGGGTTTGCGATTGTCTGTTTCAGATAACAGAAAATCTATCGCTCTGTTCATTATGGATAACAGGTGTGAAGATTCTTTTCTTGAGATATGGGTGATGAAAGAGTATGGCATAAAGGAGTCATGGACCAAACTGATTTTCCTTGGTCCACAAGGTCCAGAAAGACTTTTACCCTGGGCCTTATATTTTAGGAAGAGTGGTGAAGTACTGGTGCTTCTCACTAACAAATCAAGGCAGGAACTAGTATCACTAGACCTTGTGAGCAAACAGTTTAAAAATCTTGGGGATTTCTGGATATCAATATTGCAATGTTGGTTTTTATAAAGAGAGCCTCCTCTTACTCAACAAGAACAATGCAGAGTCTTACTAAGAGAAAGTAGGTAATGTGGTTATAGTTCTGAGAACAGAACGTTACTTTTCAAGACATTGTAATTCTTTGTTTTCCAGATTTTTATGTTCATTAAAAGCCAAATTAGTGACTAAATAGCTGTTGCTGCTACTGTTGTGAAGTTTGTGTATTCATTTAAATGGTTTAATTTGCTGCTGTAATAGGATTGTGCAATTCATTCATTAATCCCATGTCCAATGTTTCTCATTTGTAAAATAGGTCCTTTTACAATTTAGCTTTCATTCATGTAAAGCATGAAGAGGAAGTTTCGTGCTTAAGCATTGATTAAACAAGTACTTTTCTTGTTTTCTTTTGTTGCAGATCTGATGCGCGGTAACGCCTGTCACCCGATGTGCCTGATGCCTGATGCACAGTAATGCCGTTCTCTTGTTCTCTCATGAGCGAACATATTTTTCGTTTTCTTGTTTATTGTGTTGCAGATTTGTAGGGCAGTAGTGTTGTATGCCTGAAGTGCCTGATGTTGTGGTGTAATTTCTTAGCATGAACTTGTTATATGTAGTGCTGATATGCTTTCTGTAGTAGTTGTTGGACTATTTATTCTTCAGCTTTTGAAAAACTGTAATGGAACTATGGAAGTATCTAGTTACTAATTTCTATTGGCTTTGCACCAGTTTAAATGCTTCTGCAATTGCACCCGCTTTTAAGCAACTGCAAATCTTGTTTGAATCAATCCATTTTGATAAATTTTATTCACATAAGTTAACATTCATACGATAGGCTTAACAATCTAATTACATTCCTACCATGATGGACTCACTCTTATGCCTTATGACAAGTGTGGCATCCTCAATCTAGCTTTATGACATTTTTGTTGTACCTCATAAAACAAATTAGACATAACTAAATTAGAAAGATTTAGTAGTAACTTTCGAATGCTAATGTATTGAATATACTTGTATTTTTCTATGGAATTATGCACATGTTAAATATTTGAATTTGGTATGCAGTTCAAACTATCTACCTGTTTCTGTGGAATCATCTATCAAATGATTTTGCAAATTTTTTGTTGTATTTTTTAAGTAAATTTCCTTGGCTCAACAATCAGCAGTATTTGCATGTGATATATTTTGCTTCACATTCGAAATGTGTAGGTATATTAACCCAATGATTGTTGATTAATAGTTTCCATGGAACCTGTGACTTTTGGAGTTGGATATGTTGATTGCACAATCCTGTTTGTTGAGGTAAGTGAGAGGAGGGGGGATGGGAATGGGAATGAGAATGAGATTGTTACCAAAAAACAATAACAACAAATAGCATCGACACGAAGACGATCATCGTCTTTTGAATCCGTGGATTGGCGATGGATCCCTCGCAAGAAAAATCGAGCAGCTCACGAGGCTGCCAGAATTGGATCTCAGACAGTGGGTGAAATTCAATGGACAACCTGTCCACCACCTTCTATTGTTTGAGTCTTAACTTCTGATGGACGATGAAAGCCAAATAAACAGCACAAGTTTGAAGCGCCGCACCCTCCCTCTCAAACCCTCAGTCTTTCAACGCAGCAAGGGGGGAGGTGGTCACTACCCCACCACCTTAATCATCCATCTTCCATCTTCCTCTTCATTCCATCTATATTATCTTCTTTTCTTTTTATTTTTAATTTATCAGCTCCCTTTAAATTCCTCCCTCCTTATATGGCTTCTTCAAGGACTCTATCTCCCTCTTTGATCTATCGACCCCCATGGGCTGCAGCGATTAATCCCAAACACGATTTTTGGTGTTCCTTTCGGAAGATGTGTAGAGCTCTTACTCGGGTGCTTGCACCACCTCCTTTCATTCTTAGGTTGTTACCACCTCCTTCCTTGCTTAGGATGTTGGTTTCTTTGGCTTTGGGAAGTGTTTCCCAGGTTTGTTCTTGGATTGGCTGTTGTTTCCCTCTTTGGCTTTGGTGGTTTCGTTTTTGTAGAAGTTATTGAGTCTTTGATGGTCGGTTTATGCATTGCGAGAGATTTTCAAATTTGCGGTTTTTGTATTTGTTTTGTGTGTTTTGGTGTGTTTGCAGTTCTTTCACTCATCATTAGTCCTGGTGATGATGTCTCGATCTTCTTGGAAGCAGCGGCAGCGTTGCTTTGGTGTTTGGTGGTATTTCTGCTTTTGGTTGGTTCTGACTTTATGTCAGTTTTGGGCTCGCTTTATGCTTGTTTGAGTTTTATTTCTAGTGGGCTTTTACTGTTGCATTTGTTTGGACTCATTTTTATGAGTTCCACTATCTTGTAATTGGCATTGCCTTTCTATCAATGAAACTTGATTCCGACAAAAAAAATACTTCTGATGGACTTCCTGGTCCCCCAATGTAACTTCCTTTATTTCCCATGTTGGGGAGGAAACTTCTGTTTGCACTTCAGCTGATTCTGGCTTTGGTGTGTTTCCTTTTCAACTCATGTATTTTTGGCTGTTTTTGGCCTGCCGTTGGGCTTAATGAAGCATCCTTTCGACCAAAAACATACAAAAATAAACAGCATCGACATTTCCATATCAGTCCTCCAACACTCTATCATGGCTGCTTGTGCAATGTGGACAAGGCAAGAGTTGTATAATGACATGTCCCCAGGAAATAAAATAAAATTTGTTTTAAGTTTTATTTGCTATAAGAAAATTGTTTTAGGCTATTAGCAAATCAATTGTGGTTTTATTTATCTGATTACATGAAGCATCCCCCTTTCCAACACAAGCTTTGAATCCTAAACCCAAAAAATACATTTCTTTAAAACATAATTTAAGCTGTATTTTATGTTAATGTTGAATACATGAGGTGTTTTTCTTCACCGAATTTTCATCTTTTGGGGGTTTTTTATGAAAAGATTTTGAACGGAGCCACTGAGATGGTCTTCAAGTTCCATTGTATAATTTATGGCTGTTTTTTTAGCTTTGTTTTCAGTTAATGAAGTTATTTGATTTTATCCCAAAACACAAAAATGTTTGTTGGAATTATAGAGAAATTGGGCCTTCGGGGGAGGTATAAAAAAAAAACGAGTGGGCATGTGGAGATAAAGTCTCGTTACAAAAACGGAGCGGTCCAAGAAAAAAAAAGGGGGGTCTAAATAGAAATTAGACAGAATTATGACGAAAAATAAAATTTTCTACAATAAAAAAAAGCTCCCGCGAAAGCTTATGCAATTTAATAAACCCAAAGACCAACCATAGATAAACTGTAAAAACTGAAAACAAAAAAGGCAAATGTGATCAAAAGGGGGCCCAAACAATGCAATTCAAAACTTTTTAAACAATTTCATTGCCAGTGTGTATCATCAATGAATAGATCTTAAATAGCCTTAACTCATCTGGGGCTGGACTCATTTACTGAACCTATGCTTGATAAGCACATCACTTGTGAATTGTGATCAATGAGGGGGGGACTGAATGGGACTTTGAGCATGTGCATTCACATGTTTATATCATTATAAGTAAATGATGTGCCCTCATCATCAACCCAGAAAAATAAATCTTCCAACTTCCAACCCAACGCATTTACAAACTCACTGTTCACATTGTCCCTATCTCTTCAAAGGGTTCTTGGATCCAATCCAGAAAACATGTTGTTCATTTTGCATATGAGAAAAAGAAAGAAAGCAAAAGGACAATATTATGTTCCTGATCATATACATCACTGAAAAGTGAAAAGGGGTAGTAGCAGCTATTTTTTTAAGCTATATGAGCATAGGGTTTCAGATCAGAAGGGTATGTATGCCAAGTATTGGCCACCAATCATGGAAGCACTGTGTCCTGAAAAGGCAGGGCCAACTCATTTGCAATGTCATGTGGTGCCATGTGAATAGGCAACGAGTGATGAGAGGGTATTCTTCTAGGTTGTCATATTATTGTGATCATTTGATACCTAGTTATGAGTGTATTGACTCGTTATAAAAGTATTTTGTAAATAAATTCCTATCGCTTATCCCCAAAAAGGAAAAATGGGAAGGGTCATTTGACCCCTTTTGACAAGGGCACCAAAATCCCATGTGAAATTTTCCACAAGAAGGGTGACTCACCAATTGTGAATGGCATATATCACAACAAAGTCTTCAAGAAGGTGGCACCCACAAAATTAATTTAGCAGCCGTTTTGCTGTAGACAAAGGGTATGGTTTCCGTCTGATTTGGTGCAGTAGATTGAGGAGAAGGGAAATTAGACAAGCAGACTTGGCACAGAGAATGTGATAATGCTGAATAGTCAAATTAGAATGTGGAATTTCGATCTTGTTCAAACAAAGAGACAAAAACATTGCAAGTGGGGGCATGTAAATCTCTCAAGGGGCAGCACCAACCATTGTGTCTGTGTGGAAACCATGATTTGGCAGTCGGCAAGTAGGGTAACCTTGAGAATTTTGTGTTCTAGAGGTTGCTCGAGGGGAAAAAGATCAAGGGTTGCTCTGTTTGATGATTTATTATTATTATTATTTTTGCCATCACTTTGTTTAATGATTGAGCTACTTTAATTTTTCTTAATTTTTTGCAATGAAAAAACCTTCCTATAATTTCACACTATCAAACTAAATTCGGTCCTTTCATTGTTAATATTCGAGTTTAAAACATTTGAGTTTACAGTTTGTTTCATAATTAACCTTTTACCCAATTAACTTTAAAATGGGATGGTTTTATACGTCACTGCTCTTCTCACAATTACCCAACACGTCGTATATGTTGCTTGCATGATAGGGTGGTTAGTGACATACTCGTTCCACCAAACACATATTTTTAAAATTAACTTTGAAACGTCATTTTTTAGTTTTCTAGGGTATAATATTAACTTAGTCACACTAAGCAAAGGTAAAACATGTCTTAGTCAGAAATGAAAAGCGAGATCTCCCTCTTGATTTTGTTGCTTAGAAAAGAAGGGTTTTATAATAATGTAATTAATTGTCCTGTCCACCGGCATTGATACTTTATGTTGAAAAAACACTACTAGTTGGAAG